TCCAGCCGGACGCAATTTTTCAATTGATCCCATTTTCGTGGCTTAATTACAGGACTGAAAATTATAGCTAGAAAAAACAAGCAAGTATCATTCCAAGCTAGTGTAGTGTAATTGTAAAATCTCAGATTTGTCAACCTACATACATCGTGTGGAACCGACAGCGAAGGTACGGCTAGAAATGCAAACGAATGCAAGTAAATTTGTTAAAATCAAAGTTAATCATCAAAGACTGTCTATAGAATCCTCTGCAAAATTTTGTTTGAGATAATTTTGTGAAAACTGATGCTGGATAACAAAAAGTATCAAATATATCTTTTAAGATTGCCAGCAAGAAAACCCATCAAACGCTGCGATAAATTGCCTCTAACAACACTTTTGAAATATAAACGTTTTTGAATATCAAAAACGTTAAAAAAGATCATAAATATGTAGAGAATATGAATTGAGATTTTGAGTAATTTTTCTTCATTTCTTTTTTGTTTTATCAAATAACTAAAAAACAACCTTTGATAAAAGAAACTTCTAGAAAGTGTATTGGCCGCCATCTTGAATCAGTTACGCCGACCGGTGCTTTTCCGGAAAAGATCGAGTTTAGTTCGTTAACTAAAAGACACTAGTTATACGGCATTCAGCTAAGTAGTTTAAAGACCTTAATGCTCCAAGAAACAGCAGCAATTCTTAGTTTTAATTTTTCCACAAGATGAAGTAAGATTGAAGTAAAGTTAGTTTTACAGTCTCAGCCTTGCGACTCCAAAAAACCCATTCGTCAGCAAGTTTAGTTTAGCTTTCGTTTGCTGTTTTTTCTCCTAGATAAAATATTCTTAATTTTCATCAAAATAGTTTTTAAAAGGTTTCTCGGTCGACATGCCTTGGTTGGTGTTGTCGATGATGATCATTTTCGTCGAAAAACAAAAAAAATTGAAGCTATGGACTCGAATATTTTATGACTGATTACAATTCATTTTGTAGCTGGAAGGTTAGCAAAGGTCAACTAAGTTATCTTGCTAAAACGAAATGGAAAAAAAATGTTATAGTAACAACTAAAGGTATTCCATATTTAATCTTTTGTCATGTATGCGGTGAGAAAACTAACTTTACTTCTATTTTACGAGAGCTTTTTTCTCTGCAATATATATATATATATATATTCTGACTTGGTGTCAGAGTGGTGTTGCCTTTCGGTTGCAGAGATCGAAGCCTTTGCCATCACTAAAACTAAAGCTAAAACATAAGCTTAAGACAGTTAAAAACATTACGATCGTTTTGTTAATTAGCTGATTTTCTCTTTTAATCTTTATGGAAAGAGGAAGGTTATGAGAGCGGAATTTTTGATAATAAAAATGAAACACTGAAATGTCATGAGTTGATAGCAAGGAAAGAATGGCGGAAAATGCCACCTTTGCACAAAAAGTACACTTAATTTGAGGACTCGAAGATTGTTCGTATTTCTTCAGTTTTTTAGTAAAAGAAAGACTGCGAAAAAGAAATTAAAAAGCCTTTTTTTATTATTGGATATTAATAAGAAAGTAAAGTTCGAGCTTACCATTTTGTCTAAATGAATAAAATAAAACCGGCTTTTGTTGCCCACAAGGCCTTTGGCGAATTTGCCGATTTTTTTCGCCCCCTGTTCTCTAGTCGTTTTTCAATTTACTTCGTATTAGAAAGAAAACCAGAAAAAAATTCTAGGAGCGAAAAAGAACCTTTAAAATGTTGTGGATAAAAAAAAAAGTGAACAAGTTTTAAAAATCTAGAGATAAATTTTTTGAGATAAGTAAAAAAGAGGTGGGAAAAAAAATGAGATTTAAAGGTGAGGTATTTTCCAGTGTTTATTGTGCGGTATTGAAGTGACAGAAGAGGAGAAAAACCGCTCGGTTAATGTAACTGTCGACTCGATTCAGCCAATGAATTTAAGCCAGAAAAACATTCGTGCTTAGTATTGGCTAAAAAAATACAAGGCTTTGAATTTTTCATGCAACATTACCGACGACGTACGCGAAAAAATGAACGAGGTAAACTGACAATTCATGTCGCTAAATTTTTTCTCCCTCAAGGTAGCAGAAAAAAGTCTGTGAATTAGAATGTTAGAAAACGATATTTCCATTTTATACACTAAAAAAGGTCTTCTAATTGGAGCAAGAGATTTTCACGCCAATTGAAGCAATATTGCCCTCTCAAGCAGAGGGCATGTCAAGTCCGTCAATTTTCGGAACCTAGGAAGAGTCACGATCTCTCTTGTTTAGCAAGGAGATTTCCAGCGGGAGAAAAATTTCCGCACAGAATAAGGAAAACACAAGCGAAATAAAATGAGGAAACCCTCGTTAAAATATTGTCAGCTCAAACCATTTATTATGCATTTTTTAATTTTAAAAAACGTTTATAGCGCCCGGGATAAGAGGAATTTAATTTCTCTTATTTTTTTTAATGCCTGTTCTAGAAAGAATTGAATCGGGCGAAAAATTATGCCAATATTTTTTTCTGCTTTCCTCCAAGCGCCAAATTCTCGGGCTCTTTCGAATATCATTTTCGCCTTTGATCAGCCGATTCAAGAATATTCACAATAAACTCCTAAATACACCGTTCAAGATCTTAGATATTTTTCAAATCCGCGAAAAAGCTCGAAAGATCATAGAAAATTCGAGGACGAAAAATGCGATCATGCAAGATATATCAACATTATGCAAATGTGTGTTTTGGTGGATTTTGCGAGCGTTTGAATGATAATTTTGAATGAATTACTTGTGGATCACTTACGTACGTTTCCCTGGATTCCCAAGCCAGCGGTAGAGGACATAGTAATAGTTTTTCAGTCCAAAAATAGCAAAAGCGAAATGCGTGGGTGTTTGGTGACGATACCCTGTATGTTTGTGTTGCCTTCTTCTGGGAAATCCGAAGTGTAAATCAATAACCGGTTTAAACCGGTTGAGAACGACTAGACAACTCGCTTGAGTTTTGCACCTGCTATTCGCCTCGTGAATTATTCAACGCGGAAAACCATTACGTAAACGGACGGTAAAATATTGTCGCTAAGCGAAAATGTAAACGAAATAAACAAGTTTAAATACCAAATATATGGGATTCAGATAATTCATGAGGATTTCCCCTGACAATTACCAACAATATGAACAAATAAATAAATATATATATATATATTTCAATAAATATGTAAATAACCATAACGAAAAAAGTACTAGCAGTAATAATGATTATATAACGAGTAAAAATAATATAAAAAATTATAATATTCAAATAATAAAAACAAACATAATATATAATAATAATAACAACAATCATGATAATAATAATGATGATGATAATAATAAAGTTTATTTATATAGCGCTCATATCCATGAGCATGTCCAAGGCGCTTTACAACAGGAATGATGATGATGATGATGATCTTATGAATGGACGATCATGGACGATCTAAACTCTATAGTAAGCATGAAAAAGAGCTCGGTTCCCTCGTCCAGACAGTGCGCATATTTAGTGACGACACTGGTATGGACTTTGGAATTTCCAAGGCTTTATTCACACTATACCAGATAGCTTTTTAAAACGACACATTGTATTCCCGGTCCCAATGTGAACAGGCGTGAAACGGAGCATAAGCCAGGATTTTGGATTTTAATACTAGTTACCAACTCCCTCTCTTTACTCAAACCACTTAAACTTCCGGCTACGTACCGGATCATGCTGCTCGTACTGCACTCTAATCGGGACAAAAACTTATCCGATACAAAGTGTAACACGTTTGAAACCGGAGTGGAGCAACATCTATCCATTACAAAAATCACTCCAAAAACAAGCGCTCCATGTGTGAACAGAAGGCTTATCCGGTATACTTTTTGAGCCGAAACGATTGCTATCGGGTATAATGTGCACATAGCCCAAATGCGCAATACTAGTCATGAATAATTTGCTATCAATAGACGTCACTTCCGGTAATTATTATTATTATTTTTTGATGGCTTGTAGAATCCTGGAGGTTGTTTTGATCTCTTGTTTTCTGGTTTGATGTCGTGAAAATAGTCAAACACAATAGTTTGAGGACTTATTTTGATATGTTTTGACTTAACATCCGCTAGTTACCCCCCAGTCAACCGCTTGTTTGCCCCCCCAGTCAACCGCTTGTTTGCCCCCCCAGTCAACTCCAAAAAAGTCACGTGATTGATAGTAAGCAATAGAGGCAAGAAGATCAAGAGTAAAGGAATTTCTCTTCCAGATGGGAGAAAGCTAAAATTGCTAGAAGAAGATGATGATTGCTTTAAGTGCTCGAAGCTGATGAAATTCTACAATCAGAAATAAAGGAAAAGCTACGAACTGAGTATGAAGGCTGGAAAAAACTCCTTATGTCGAAACTCTCATAAAAGCAATTAATACGTGGGCTGTATCATCAATTTGCTACAGAGGAGGAAAAGGAAAGTAAAGTATGTGGCGGATCAGGAGACGTGGAGTCGGCCGGTGATGCGAAGAAAGAAATGCTTATGATTGCCGCTCAAGCAGACTTTAAATGCTAATGTCTTAAATTCTAGAATCGATAACCATGGAATTTTCTCAAAAGTGTGCAATGTGTGGAACAAGTGACGCACAGTAGAGCATATAATTTGCGCCTGCAGTAAACCTGCACAGAGGGAGTACAAGCAACGTCATGTCACACTTGCTGTACTTTCACCCTGGTAGCTGTACAAAAAATATGGATTACCATGTCATGACAAATAGTACGAACATGTTCCTGAAAGTGCGATGGAGGACCATAAAGTCAAGTTGCTGTGGAATTTTACCATGCATTCAGGCAGACAGATAGGATAATAGAGAGTTTTAGATTTACGTTCACGGCAAACGTGAAACGTCAGTTGACCAGTGAAAAATTGTTTCAAATAGCTGAGAAAGTGTCGCAAAAAAGTCCAAGTAGTAGAAAGACAAAAGAGTATTTGGCGCTTGGTGAGAAGGTTTGTAAAAGGTAAAGTAAGATAAAGGAAAACTATGAAAACGTGGTCACGTTTGCCGTTTGCGGGGAGAAAAAAAGTCAATCTAAAACTCTCTAAATCCAAGCGAGCTGGACTTCCAAACTACATTGATGTTGAATAGGAATTAGTCAAGCCTGAAACGGACCGTTTGAACTTCCGCGGCTAAATTACTCAACCAGTTAAGCGTATTTTAACGGAAATTATTGCTAAAGCTTTGAAAACAAAAGCCACCGATGCGAGAACGTCTTTAAGCAACCTCTCGCCATAGTTGATATTAACTATGCTCACGCATTACAAAACCCAAAAACTAAAAACTCAATAACTTCCAATATCGATAAACAAAGCCCATAAAGAGCACTAAGGGGAAGACTATAGAAGACAGGGTTTTTCTACTTCAAATTTATATATTTTTTGACTATCAAAACCTCGACTGGCACTTGCCTTAGACGTTAATTTAGGCGGGAAAAATCCTTACGATAACATTTCAGGAAACCACTAATTGAGAATGAAAAATTTTCAAAATATTTATCGAAAACAGGGTTTTTCTAATTCAAATTTTGTATGTTTTTAACTATCAAAACCACGTCTGGCACTTGCATTTGGACGTTAATTTAGGCGGGAAAAAGCTTTACGATAATATTTCAGGAAACCACCTATTGAGAATGAAGGATTAAAAAAACAAACAAACAATGGAATATAGGAAATGTTTTTGTATATATGAATTGTTGCGTAAATGTTTTGTTCAATGAACGTATAAAACTTCAGCTGTCATGCTAGAATTAGCCATTTTATCTAAGATAGTTCAAGCGGCTATTGCTACTTCATTTTCCTTAGCAAGAATAAGTATGGCAACTCTGGGATTTTTGATTTTATTTTTCGTTTTGGTAATTACTGGAAACTTGTGGAGTGCAGAGGCGAAAAGCTTGACGGTAAGTTTATAGTTTATAAACTTTAAGAAATACTGAGATAACTAGAGAGCCTAGATTTCAAACTGATAACTAAATGATATGGATGGGGAAAGGAAAAAAAGACCTCTAATCTTCAGTTGCAAAATATATAGAAATATTATTATATAAAGCACTATTTTATAAATAAAGGTTATGATTCAAGAAGCTAAACAGATACTTAACTAAGACCTAGCGTAACTCGTGTGAAAACGCGCTAAGTAAAGTATTATAACTGAACCGTGGAGCAGTTTTTTCAAAGTGCCAACTGAAAATTCAACGAGGCCCTACCGGCTGACGATTTTACACAGCTGCATTTCTTAATACTGAATAATGTGCTATAAACAGCAAATTTAGGCCCCGTCCACACTATGCCGAATAAATTTGAACCCGCAACTTTCGCACCGAAACCGAAAAAAAAGTTTTCCGTCCACACATGAAAACGGATAAAATGTTCGCGTTCACACTAGTCCGATCAGAGGGGGTAAAAACGCTTCATTGCACATCTGAGCATGTGCATCGAAGCTGAAATTGAGCCCGCGGTGAATTTTTAGCCTTCCCGCCGTGTTCCCATGACGTCATTGTATTCGAAAATTTCGGGTACAAAATGTTCTCCGTCCACACTAATGCGGCTAGCCGGCGTATTCAAATTGTTCCACTCTGGAGACCGTATTCGAAAAAATTCGTTTTCGGTGAAGAATTGTTCCGGATTCGCCCGAACTAGTGTGGACGGTAGGTCTAACCGAATAAGTAAAAATTCGGATTCAAATTTATCCGGCATAGTGTGGACGTGGCCTTAGATTAAGTTGAAATTTATGGACTAAATCAGTAGGGAATCAAGGGAGGCGTAACGCGCGGGAGTCAGTATGCTTGCCACTAATCTCTGGGGTATCGGGTTATATATTGGACTCAGCATATGTGTTGAAGTAATCTGCTCAATGGGTTTTGCCGAAGCCACACGATATTCAATATTCACAAAACGTTTTTATGCTCGCTCAGTGCATGTTTGTGATCTATCGTAGGACCTACATAAACTGTTGACCGCAGATGAAGTTGAGAAAATCTTTGGAACAGTGACTGAGGACGGTAGGTGACATTTTAAAAAAGCTTTGTTCTCAGAATTACCGTCCCTTCTTTTTTCTTCTCTTCTCTTCTCTTTGCTTTTCTTCTCTTCTGTTCTTCCTTTTTTCCTTTCTTTCTTTTCTTTCTTTCTATTATCGCGGCCGCTCCGAAGTCATTCACCAAACTGGATGAATTTATCAAAAGTACGTACTTTCTTTGTATGGTACTAGTAATCTAAGCAATGAGCACGCCTTATATCCATGGGAATGATTACAAACGCCTCTCAGAGTGGAGGTTTAGATAAGAGCAAACAACTTACAGTCCATATCAAATATGTATCTAAACTGATATTTTTTTACCAGTTCCGGAGTATGACGTCATGCATCCTGTCCAAACCGACCACCGAGGAAGATTCCTTTCATACGATGTATCTTATAGCAACAGCAACAAAGTGAAAAAGAACTTGTTCTTTCGAATATCAGCCTTCAGTTACGTGTTTCCCCTCAATGTATCCATCAACACGGAAGAGTTGTTTTCGCCTGATTTTGTCACCGAGGTGCGAAACAACGGAAAATCGCAGTTGAGTACAAGTCCCCTGCGCTGCCATTACGTTGGTCACGTGGTATCACCGGAAGGACTGCGAGCTAAAGTTGCCATCAGTAACTGTGATGGACTGGTAAGGAGTTATTACTTGTGTGTTTTGCAATAGACTTGCTCTAAGTCTCGCTCGCTAATTTTTTTTCGTAGCAAACTCGGGTTCAAATAGTGCACTTCCGGTTGCGACGGCTTTCCGAGGGGAGTGGCGCGAAGAAGGCGAGCGAGATCTAGTTTTCCAAGAACAATAGAATTATGTATAAAACGTTTTGCTCTTCTCTTACTTTAGTTTCCTTGTTCGCTGTATACCTAGTGTCCTCTTGCATTTGTTCACAATGCCAATTTCGTTCTGATGTCTCGTTATAATCTGAAACACGAGCTCTGGTTCAGAAGACGGCAGCGATTATTCCCATCTCTTCGAGGTTGACTGTGGAGAGATAGGAGGGGTTGGGGTTATAAGGATGTAATAATAAACGAACTACAGTTCACTGCGCCATCTTGAAAGGTAGCCGTGCCTTTGAATCGAAGCGAGACGAACTGTGAGCTTGTGATGATAGAGACCTTTTATTAACACCTTGGACAATTATTTACATGTCTCTATCATTGCAAGCTCGCCTTTCGTCGCGCTTTGATGCAAAGGCACGGCTACCTTTCAAGATGGTGCAGGGAACTGTGAAGGGGACTATTGTTGCCATAAATTTAACTGAAGAAAATGCATAAATTATGCAAAGACCTTTACCCATCCATTAATCTTTCCCAGTAATTATCCATTCCATTCCATCTTTTCCTCCACTCATCCATCCCTCTGGATTCATGCATCGTTAGACTTAGACCAATCTACCTCGTATCAATAATTATCTTTTCATTTTCCCCTACAACTTTTCATTCACCTAACTATACATCCCTGGCCCATTTTCATCCATCCATCTCAATCCACCCATCAATAGAGATTTTGTACTATAACGTCCAGTGGTTTATGTTAGATGGCAGAACAACAGAATCCCTACTCTGGACAATTGAATTGTCTCTCATGTTAAATGACTGCTTGTTGTTTTTGTATTCAGACTGGTATGATTCGCACCAAGAGAGAGATTCTCATGGTTAGTCCTCTACCAAAGAGACTGAACATTAACGAGAATACCAAGCGTGCTCATGTGGTGTACAGGATGTCTAACAGACACGCCGAGACGATGATACGAAAACTGGGCGTCAACACAAGATCAGACACGTGGTGTGGAGTCAAAGGTAACAACCTTTAGGCTTATCGAACACTGAGTCAGGGCAAGGCTAACTCACGGATCGAAACCTGAAACAGCCTCTGATCTGAGTCAGAGCAAGGCTAACTCACGAACCCTGAAACCAGCCTCTGATCTGAGTCAGGGCACGGCTAGCTCACAGATCGAATCATTAAACAACCAAGCTCTGGGCTGATCAAAGTCAGGGTTCGGCTAATTTACAGATGGAATGTAGTGTAGCGTGTTGTGATGACAAAGAAACGTAATTCTCAAGAGGATGTCATGATGGCCAATGCATGCTAGAGCGGTATATTAACTCATGGTGATTTACATCGCTTTAAGATTCTCAATTATTCCTCTTGTTCTTTTTGCTCTGTCTATCCTGAAACAACAGACTTACACTTACACTTATTTGTCGAGCGTATTGAAACTAAAAATTTATAATAAWAAAAATATTTTAATTAAAAAAAAAATAAAATCATGGATCTCTTTACAGCACCAGGTGAAACCTCAAAGAAAGATACGGTCATCCCAGAAAAACAAGATCGCGAGGTGGTATCAGACGTTTCCAAAAGGGATAAACGATATACCATCGAAGCTGTCGTAGTAGCAGACAAGAAAATGACACAGTTTCATGGCGTTGATCAAATTAAGATCTACATCCCAACCCTCATCAATATGGTAAGCAAAATAATGGTTTTGATCAATCTGTCAAGTTGATGATGAACAATGAGAATGAGGAGGGAATGAGATATTCTGACGGAAATGGAAAAATAACGTGAATGGTGAAAAAAGAAATAATAATCAAGGGAATGATATGTTCTGACGGAAATAGGAAAATAACGTTAATGGCGAAAAAAGAAATAATACTCAAGGAAATGACAGGTTCTGACTGAAATAGGAAAATGGCAGCCGGTGATGAGCTGTGTTTAAAGAAACGTGTCACTCAATCCATGGTATGATAATGATTATAATTTAAGTTTTTCTCAACGTCAGGTACATAGTCTGTTAGCTGACAGCTCCATAGGTGTGAACATCAAGTATGTACTCAACAAACTACAGATCCTTGAAACAGACGAGGTGAAGAGCATCTATTTTTATCTATTATTTACTTTTCGATATAATACTTATTTGATCTAGTGCGTTTACTTTGGCTGATTACCAAGCCTTGGTCTTGATGATTTACGATATCATCCTCAACCTCATCCAATAACTGCTTATTAAAAATATGATGATAAAACTTTAAAAATTCTTTTGAATTATTATCGAGACTTGAAGGGCACGGACAACACATAGCTCGAACCCGGAACAACCTCTGGGCTGATCTAATTCAGGGCACGGACAACACATAGCTCGAACCCGGAACAACCTCTGGGCTGATCAAAGTCAGGGCATGACTAACTCACAAATCAAACCCTGAAACAACCTCTAGGCAGATCTAAGTCAGGGCACGGCTAACTCACAGATCGAACCCTGAAACAACCTCTAGGCAGATCTAAGTCAGGGAATGGCTTACAGATCGAATTGGAAATAAGCTGGTTAGGTTTTTGCGGAGTGAAGAAAACCAGAGTAGCAGGAGAACAACCATTGAAGTATTTCACTGTTATAAAGTTGTCGTCGAGCTGCAGAACTGATGTTTGTTGTTTGTACTGGATTGTTTTAGCCTGGCTTAGTGATCAATTCTCATGCTAGTAAAACGCTGTCAAGATTTTGTCGCTGGATGAGTAAAGAAAACCGCGGTGATGATACGAACCCTGCACACTTCGATCACGCTACTCTTATATCAAGGTGTGTATTATCCATTCCACCCATCCGTCCGTCCGTGCATCCATCCGTCCGTCCGTCCGTCCGTCCGTCCGTCCGTCCATCCATCTATCGATTCACTAACAACACACACTGTCCCTGTCATTTACGCATGCGCATAAACAAATTTAATTTGCTAATGTATTTTCTTTTTCCAGGCTTTCGTTCTGTAGCAACACTGTTGACGTCACCAGTCCAAGGTGCAATTCCTTATTAGGTGAGTAAAATTGAACCTATTTTATGCTAACTAAGAAGACGTCTAAGGCATGTTCTAGCACTCTTACATGAGTCTAAAAACCATTGATTTCTTGGAGAAAATCAAAGCAAAAGTTGACCACATTTTATGCTTACTAAGAACACAGTCCAAAGTGATTTACCTGGAGTTATAGAAAGGAGAGTTCCGCTCTGTTCCATTGTTACATGTTTGTTATTAACTCTTGATCAGGTCTTGCTGATCTGGCAGGGATGTGTGGTACTGACACAAGCTGTACCCTGAACACGGACACTGGTCTTGGAACTGCATTCACCATTGCTCATGAAACCGGACACAAGTAAGTAAAGGCGGTTAGCCTGCGAAACGGTTCTCCGGAGAGGGGGGTTTGGGGACTGAAAACTCCCGCGCCAGAGAGCCGTTTCGCAGGCTAAAAGGCGGTGATTACATTCGGTAATGGTCCATTCAACCTGTCTTGCAATAGGCCATTTTCGAATTACGCAAATGTATTCCTTGATCACAGACTTGATTATACGAGGTTAGCCTCATTTCACTGTCCAAATATTCACAAACACCAACGGTAAAGTAAAGAATGTACAACTTTAACAATAAAAACACTTTGAAATTCCAAGGGATTCTTTTGGAATGCGTAAATATTTATAGTAATTCCATACAAAATCGAGGGTAGTTCCGCAGAACAGAGAATCCCAAACTGGAGTATTTTATTGTGCGAGTAAAACGCGTTGTAGTTGAATTAACAGAGGATGTTACATTGGACAATGTTCCTTGCAACTTGTATCACACATTCGACCGTAGTGGACCGAGGCGATAAATAAATAATTTACGACGATGAAATATAGACAAATAGCAGGAAGGGTGATACACTAGGCAATGTCTTGACATTGTTACCGCAATTCTTGAAGTGCAACCACATGCATGACTCAAAATCCCTCTATATATGAAACAGCCTCCATGGTTGATCTAACAAGAGAAGCTAGTGAGGAATGCTTTGTTGTCTGCGTCAATCAATATGGCGGCTATGACGTAACATGCACCCCAAGAATAATAAGGGAGGTTGGGTTATTTTAAATGCATCGATCTGACAGTTTGTTTGTTTGTTTGTTGGTTTGTTAGTCTTGGTGCCGAACATGACAGTGAAGGGAACAGGTGCCCTAACGGAGTCAACATCATGGCAACTAAAGCAAGCGGGAAAGCAACTGCTTTCGAATGGTCAGCCTGCAGCTCCAAGTACATCACCAAGTTTCTCAGGTGAATTCAGTTTGACTTTCGCACTAAATCTTGCCATGTTGAATGAATTTCTCCTCCAACATGGTAGCCATGGCGAAAAATGTTTTTTTTAAAAAAAGTTCGTGAAATGACACTTGAAATGGAACATAATTCTTCACTCAAGCGCCTCCAGCAGAAATATTTGTCCAATGGGTGAACGTCCCAAATTTGAGTCCATCCTGTTTTGTGTCATTACCACGCGCAAGAAGCTGATTTAGTCATGTAGCTGTTATGCTGTTTTGCTACACCGTGCTGAAGAGACCCAACAACGTCAAAACAGCTGTCCACGGTTGCATTTTGACTTTCAGTTTAGATTTATCATGTCGTTGTTGTTTTAAGTATTCAACGTAGTATACTGAGCCTTGCCTGTTGCAGATAATTTATTTTTATGTTATTTTTGGCTTATTAGATCTTTTTACAGATCCTACGTTTATCGCGGCATTTTCGTACACTTCACATTTCTTACCAGAAATATCCACATACATCTAAGTTTATTATTTTACAAAACTGTATTCCTCCAGAAAAGTCGGAGATTTGAATTCAAAATTGTTATATTTTTGTTTTTGTTATTAGTGGGTACACCTCAGGTTGTTTGAACGATCGGCCAGGAAGGTCCGTACCATTACCAAAGGCCCTTGCAGGCCAGGAGTACTCGCTGGATGACCAATGCCGAAGAATGGTTAAAGGTTCGTCAGGAGCTTGTAAAATGGCTGATAAAACAGGATCGGTATGTACTTCATTTGTTGTATAATTGTTTCATTTCCAAGCTCAATTGGTTCATATTGGATCCCAGGACAGGTCATAAACTGGGTATAAAGGACTCAGTCCTTTTATGATCCATGTCGTTTTTTAGAGATCAAGACAACAAACGGAAATAGCGCGCGCCTGCTAGTTGACACACAGGAGTTGGGTAACGCGAAATTTAAACACATGCGCGATATTAAGAAGTTTTCCTATCTTATTTATACGCTCTCTTGATTTTCCATATATATATATATATTTCTGAATATGCTCTTACCTGATTGGCTGCTGCAGATCACGTGTTACCAGCTGTGGTGTACAGTAGGGGATAGTTGTACGACGATCAACGAGCCAGCTGCTGAAGGGTCATCTTGTGGGAAAAGAAAAGTAAGTATAAATATAATGAGCACACGGTAACGGTACGAAGTGACGTTATTCGTTAACCCGCAAAAGTGCGCAAAACCTGTGACCTGTGTTGAGAAAATTAGAATGCTGGGAAAGCACGCCGTCACGGTCACGGCACAGCATGCTGTAGCAAAAGTGTTTCAGATAATTTAGTCTTCGTGTCCTCTATATTATTACAAACACATGGGGGGAAGGGGGGGAGAAGGTTAGTATTATTTGCTAATGGGCTACCTCATACGGCTGTAGTTGGTAGTTGTGGGTTGGACAATAGGCTACGTCATGTTTGGGTAAAGTTTTTTAGAAGAATATTTTTTTCCATTTTGTTTGTAAAATACAAATTTCAAAAAACCGTTCATTGGATATGAATGACAAATATAAAACGCTTGAGCATAAATTTAAATCATAAATCCAACACTTAGATTTATAATATTAATCTTACAATTGTTAGTCCCGTTGTATCGGAGAACTTTTCTTCTTTTACATAACCGAATACTTTCTTCTGGGACCGCTGTAATTTATTTGCCCATTCGATCTGTAGCACGAGTTTCTTCGATTTCTTCTATAGCTGTGAAAGAGCGCCTCGTTTGAAAGGAATTTATATCTTACAAGATAATTTTTTATCCAAATTAATCATGTATATCTTTTTTAATCTTCAGTGGTGCAGAAGAGGTGTCTGTGTTCGGATAGGCAAAGAAGGACCAAAAGCTGTCGATGGAGGATACTCAAAATGGTCCCCTTGGGGAAAATGTTCGCACCCGTGTGGCGGAGGGGTCAGGACTAGGACTCGTCAGTGCAATAATCCAACGTATGTAATGATCTTTGGTTATGGTGATACGTATTTCTGACAGTTGTCGTTGTTAGATATTGTTTATGGATCAGCTGCTGAATGATTGATAGGTTGAAGAGTCAGATTTATAAAAAGGTTCAAAACCAATAAAGGCAGTCAGGATTTTAAAAACCTTTTTAAACGCACGTGTTTAAGGTGCGGTAACCTCGACTTGTTGAAATTATACGAGCAGCCACAACTTGTAATATCAATGTTTGTTACGTGAGAAGTTGCGTACGTTAGTGGTAAAGCAACAATGTTGCGCAAGGAGGTGCACGATTTTGTTGCTTAAATTACCGCACCTTTACATGCACTCTGAGACTGCATATTATCTTTCTTCCTTTTGTTCTTTCCTTTGCTCCCTTTCTTTCTTTCTTTCTTTCTTTAATTCTTTCTTTTTTATCTTTAGTTCCTTCCTTTTTGCTTTTTTCTGTTCTCTTGTCATAATATCTTTCTTTTTTCTTTCTCATTTACGTCTATCGTTGCTTCCTTCTTTCTTTCCTTCTTTCTTTCCTTCTTCTTTCCTTCTTAATTCTTGATTCCATTCCTTTCTCAGGCCTAGAAATGGCGGAAAATTATGCGTAGGAGAATCAAAAAAGTTTCAATATTGCAACAACCAGGTAACCAAAGAACAGAAATTATTTGAGGTGCTGTTTAGAAAAAGATTCCTTTCTCCGCAAAAACCAACATTCCTTTTGCGCCCAGTGTCATTTGCCTACGTGGCAGCGATTTCCCCTCCATTATCAAGGCAGAAACAAGTTCTTTGACACATTTTTGCTTCGGCATCGAACGTCATGATAATGAATTCAAAATGTGTTGTCGGACAACGGCCATCCATGTGAACTGAAAACCTCCCCAGGGCTTATTTAACCAGTTTTTTAACGTTAACCATAGAAATGTTCCTCGAACGTTCCTGATACACGAATGATACAGTGCAAGAGTAAACGCAATCAGAAGTTTGAATATGGAGTCAAGTACAACTGGGTCTACAACCCGAAGGCACCTGTACCAAGTATGTACTGTTATTCCAGGAAGAAGTAGCGCACCGAGGGTGGCAGAGTTTCAGGGCACGAGAGCACGCGTTTTGGCGCGCGGAACTCCATTAGTATGAGTCAAATCCTTTTGTTGGCTGTCCCAATATTGAGAGTCCCAAAGTGGGGCGAACGCGCGTGTTTTGGCGCGAAAAAGATCGCACTGAATACCCAGGGACTCTATTAGTATAAATCAAGTTTTTATCGGCTGTCACAATAGTTCCAAAGTTAATTGCTTCAGAAATCAAGGATTCAGTTGCTATAGTATGTCATTTGAGTACATTTTTAACAACAATTCGCTAAGGTGTCATTTTACTTGTTCTTTTTAGAAAAAAAACGATGTTCATTGTTTTGTGAAGCTCCAATGGACTTCAACGAAGTAATGTTCTATGACTTTGGTAAAGTAAAGGATGGCACAAAATGCAATGGTGATGGGCCGGATGGTGTGTGTATTGCAGGCGTGTGTAAGGTAAGGTGGTGAGGTAGACAGAGTTGATTTCTGTCGTTCGTTTGACTGGCTGGCTCTACATACTGATATATATATTAATGGCTGGTACTCAGAAAAACTGATCGAATTTCGATAAGGTATGACTGAACTATGAAAAAAGGAAGGAAGCGATCAATAGCAAGGAGAGAAAAGCCTATATGATCCAGCTTTAACTAGGTGACTATATAACCTATAATTTCGACTTCTTTTCTTCAGGTGGTTGGTTGTGATAACGTCCTTGGATCAACAGCAAAGAAAGATAGATGTGGTGTTTGTAAAGGAGACGGTACAAGCTGCAAGGATAAGACTATCAATACTATAACGAGAAAAATATACGACCAGTACCCGGACCCTTATGGTGGTAAGCAAACAAATAACCTGTAATTATCGACCACTCTTGGTCATAGTGCGCTCATAATATATTAAAATATACGGCCAGTACCCGGACCCTTATGGTGGTAAGCAAACAGATAACCTGTAATTATCGACCACTATTGGTCACAGTGCACTCATAATATATTAAAATATACGACCAGTACCCGGACCCTGATGGTGGTAAGCAAACAGATAACCTGTAATTATCAACCACTCTTGGTCATAGTGCACTCATAAAGTATTAAAATATGCGACCAGTAACCGAACCCTAATTAAAAATTATGAAAAAATTACATCTTGATTTTTTGCACGAAATCAGCATAAAATTACTAGCTATGAATATTAAGCTAAAAATTATAGAATGAAAGCTGAAAATTGAGCGTAAAAACGTTTCACGATCCGCACGATCCAGTTAACCGAAGTCCAGTCCATTTCACTAATGCACGGTTCCAAATTTTCCAAAAATAAAAATCTCTCAAAACTGGGAATCTAGACGCATAAATCAAATTTTAAAGGTTGGAAATGTTTTTGCTATACATTACGGTTACCCTCACCTTTTAAAAAGCTAAAAGTTTGACGAATTTTTTTGTGATCCAAAACCCTCATATGCATTATATATGCTATTTATCCTTACAGCTTACTACCAGACCATCACAACCATTCCCGTTGGTGCTCGAGACATCGAGATCAAAGAACTAAAGCGCTCAAGTAATGTCTTGTGTAAGTAGATTTCTTATATTGGCATCCTGTGTTACTGTACCCAAATAACTTAATCCACAGGAAGCCCAAACTCGATTTTTGTATTGATGTTTCACAGAAACGCTTTTTTCACAGCATTGTATTTTTGCTTAAGTTTTGGATGGAGGACAATATTTTTCCCTTAAACTACTCAAATTTTAAAATGGCGTTTTTGCAGAATACTCTAGTACTCAAGGTTAGCTTATATTCTATGCACAATTCTTCGATTGCCATTTAACAAAAGATTTCTTATTAGCATCCATTGTTAACGGCACCACAATGGCCGCCATGCTCTTGTCTTTTAACTCTCTTGGGAATGCTTGCAACCATCAATATTAATGTATTCCAGTGAAGGTCCGTGAAATTTTAAAGTGTTTGTGCATTCTTTGCTACTTAACGTTGGTATTTGTGAATATTCTATCACTGTAAAGGCCGGTTTAGACGGTACGATTTTCGCCTACAACTATTGTATACAACACGCTCATGTCTGTCATAGGCGAGTTGTAGGCTTGATTTACACGCTACGACTCGAGTTGTAGGATGACGCGAGCGTGTTGTATACGATAGTTGTAGGCGAAAATCGTACCGTCTAAACCGGCCTTAATGATGAGCCTAAGCCTGAGTAAATAAGTCTGTAATCAAGAAACACAGCGGGATTGTAAGAATTCGAAAATCACAATCACTCGTTAATCACGTGCTATTACTATTGTTCACAGCTTTGATAACTCTAAATGACGAACCAATCACTGACGAGTATTTCAAGTCAAATAAAAAGTACAAATACCACGAGGCGGGGACGACGTTCGAGGTCATAAAAAAGAATGCAAAGGAAATGATCACAGCTAAAGGACCGCTGACCAAAGCTGTTATATTGGAGGTACAAACATTTAAAAATATTTTTACATTTCTTGTCTGTTGCTTGCGGTCGATCAATATAGAGCATGTGCATGTTACGTCATAACCGCCATCTTGTTTGACGATAACAAAGCATTTCTCATTAGCTTCTCTTGTTAGATCAACCATAGTTAACTATGCAACAACCGGTCGTTTCATCGTTCTTCATACTTCAAGGGACTTTGAGTAACATAGTTGCACACATTGTATTCGGATCCGAAGGGAGTCGAGCTGTGGTATAATTCCGTGTTTAAGATGCTGCCTGGACTCAGTACACGGACAAAATTTGTTAGCCCCACTTGGTTCTCTTTCTGTTTTCTTTTCCATTGATATGTTACTGGAGCTACTAACTATGTACATATCCCAAAAGGGCCCGTACAACAAATAAGTGGCCAGCCCCTCCCCTCACATTCATTTAAGGTTTATACAATACAAAACTGACCCGAACCTCTAACACTGGGTTTCAAATCTACCATTCTTTTTTTTTTAAGTATTATGTTGAAAACTGGGATAGCAAGTATAAGGTTTCCTACAAGTATTCCATGACGTCATCCACCCCGTCGCGTGCAGTATCCAGTGACACTACCACTCATTACAAATGGATGACAAAGACCCACGGATGCTCGGCTGAATGCGGTGGAGGTATGTCTGGCTCGAGACGAAGAAATATTCATTCAACTTAAATGACACAAAATATTTTTAAAGTACTTGAATGCAGCTTGTTTCATTCGAGAAACATATTTTCGTTTGAGGACGTGATTTCAAGCTGATGAACTTTTGATCCTATTTTCTCGGTGGATGCGGGATTCTATAGGGATTCTCAGTTGGAAATATTAAAGACCACCCAGGTGGATAATTTTGGGAATCTTGCAATATTTTCTTAATCTACCTGAAAATGGAAGAACTTATGGGATTCCTGCGTCCTGCGCAAGCCCATTATTGCGAAGAAAGAGCGAAATTTTGAGTGATATTTATTAGACTGTTATCTTTTTCAGGCAAGATGTTACTACTGGTTTCGTGCGTGAGAGAAGATAATGGCTCACCGGTGTCCCATGAACTTTGCAGTGCTAAGGAAATACCTGACATTGAACAGGCATCCGTTGACTGTAACACGCGGCCTTGCAAACCAAGGTAACTGGATCTCTTGCAATCTTGTTATAATTGCACAGCAACACTACCGACTGTCGTCACAGGTCATCAGTAATAGTTACTAGCTTGGGATACCTGTGTCGCGTCACAGGTCATCAGTAATACGTATATACTAGCATGGGATACCTGTGTCGCGTCACAGGTCATCAGTAATAATTATGGGATACCTGTGTCCAGTCACAAGCCATCCGTAATGACTGATAACACATAAGAAGGTGAAGTAACCGTGTCATCCAAGATGGCAGCCATGACCAGTTCATGACAAACTAGTCGATTTCTATTTTACCTAAACTCTCTGATTTCTTTCACATCAATAAAATTGTCAGCAGTCGATTAACTCGAAAAATACGGTATTCTTTTGTCCATCAGTTGGAACAAGGGGGAGTGGGGCGACTGCAGTAAAACGTGTAACGACGGTTCTCCTGGTCAGCAGCAAAGAGAAGTCACGTGCGTCAGAAAGACCAAAGGCTTAGAAGAACTGCTGGAGGATTCTAAGTGCGAGGGACCTAAACCTGCTATGGTCAGGATGTGTGGAGAAATGGAGTGCCCAGCTGAATGGGTCACAGTGAAAAGTGGACCTGTAAGTACCATACCAAAACGTGATTCTAGTGTTTCCAAATAGAGCTGGCTAAACTGAGGAGTTTAGATCGAATAGCAAGGAAAATTTGAGTGACTTTTACAAAAGGATGAGCTCGAATGGTTGCGCTTCTGGGCTATGTCCCTACCTGCACGGGTTTCCCTTGAAAATTTAGAGCGAGGATTCAAACAGAAACTAAATGAACGTGACAATTGAGTATTTTCTTGTGCACTGACATCTATTTCTGGGAGCATCTTCTAAATCCAAAGGAACTGAGCCAATACGCCATTCTAGTATCCTTCTGCATGTACCGCAAATCTATTGTATTCTTTGTTAGCTTCGTTCAGTATTGTATAACTTAGGGTCTTTGGTCGTTTCTATTGCATTATGTAAACTGTTCAATACCCGAAGGAGCCCCATATCGTACAATACCGCTGTGTTCCTCGATTACAAACTTATTTACTCAGGGTTTGCCTCACTTCTGTGTTAAAATACTCACAAATACCAATAGTAAAGTAAAGAATGCACAACTTCAACACGTTGAAATGTTTTTGAAAATGGGATCGGAAAAAAAAAATCTTTTTTCATGAATATCTGGACACGTGTGGACGGCGCCTTTAGCATTATTTTCTGTGATTTTCTAGTGTTCCTCGTTATGCGGCAAGGGAATCCAAGCTCTAGAAGTGGTGTGCAAGAAGACGGGCACTAATGGAAGGATCGTTAGAGTACCAGACGAAAAATGTCCTAAGGATAATAAACCACCGACTACGGTCACGTGTCATGCTGTCTTATCCTGCGAAGCATGATGGGTAATGGCCTCTGAACCTTGATTGGTTTGTCTTTGTTTGATGAATGTAGGGTTGTAAAATATTGTAAATATCTTAAAGGATTAGAGAGTTGTTAACGTAATGTAGTGGAACCCTCAACGAATGACCCCTTGATTAGTGAGCCATCTTATCAAAATTATTTAGGTATTTCATTAAATGAAGTTTTTGGCGCGCTTCTAGATCTACCGGCGGGCTTTGATTGGTCAAATGAAATGACTTCACAGTTGTCCAAGGACTGTTACAATAACTAGCCTCGTACATGCAAATAAGCTGGATTTCAGATCCTGTGACAGTGACGTGACAGTGCAATGCGATACACCCGGCTTAAATTAGTCGCCTACGCAGCCGCTATATATATTAATGTCGTCACGAACTATAGTGGCTGCGTAGGATACTAGGGTTGGAGGACTAAGGCTTACAATTGATCGGTCCCGGACCCCTTAAGCCTTTCTCGCCCATTGCGTCATTTCCTAGAGTATCATTTCTTTGTTAATGGTTGCACATGAAAAGATATATGAATATTATTGTTACGACTCAAACAAAGAATCTTATTCTCAAATGAATGACACGCGGTCAAATGGACTGAAACATTACGCCAAAGCTGAAGTGGTCTATTCAAATTAATAATCGTTGGTAACGCACTCTCTTGGATGCTCACTAGAAACTGCGTCACAATCCAATTTCAGAAATCAGGTCATGTAAACTCTATACAAACTTTACAATGAATATGCTAATTAGATACCACTAATTTAAATTTCTCGCTTCACGCAGCCGCGAGGTAACAACATTCGATTCTCGATAACATTTACATCACTATTTCTAAGCACCACGAAAATGTTATTCTCCTACCGATTGGTCTGTCGGACCACGATTGGTCTGTTGGACCTCTCTTGTGTTCGCCCTAACTCTTCACCGCAGCATGGTACTTTAATATCGATCATCCAACTAGTATACGCTACTAATAATGCAGGCCTACAAAGAGGCAAGCCCTTGTCAATGCTTTGTACAACAAATTGGACCCCTCCCCCCCCTCTTTATCATAAACCTCATTTTGTGAATCAGTTTGCTTTTTTCTCGATGACATTGTCGATCATCAACAAGTGATGGGTCGCAAGCCTTCCAAGAGAGGTAAAAGACAAAAGCATGGCAACCATTGTGGTAGCGTTAACAATGGATGCTAATAAGAAATCTTTTTGATATATGGCACTAACCGCGCTCCCCCGAGAAGCCGCGATAACTTAACGTGCAATCGAAGGGTGGAAAGGCATCTACCACTGCGCACAACCAAGTACCATCCTCAAGACAAACCATGGACAACCGAAAATATTAAAAACGTACTTGGTCTGTAAGAGACAAAAAACCTGGTCATCTGGCCACACCCTCAAGTACAACTTCTTCCGCAAACAAGTTAGGAAACTGTGCAAATCATCGCGTAAGTCGTATTACGACAAACAAATATTCTCAACAATCGAGTAACGAATCCAAAGAAATGCCCAGTGACGGAATAACGCTAAAGCCATCTCTGGTTTTTCGAAAACTGAACCACTCCCAACGAGTATCTTTCATGACGGTGAGTTTAAAAGTGGACTTGAAATATTGCTACTGATTGCAGATTCTCTCTGCAATGTCGCAAATAGTTTACCAGCATTTAGTTTTTCCACTTTTTTTCCATTTCAGAACACGTTGCATTCCCGCCTAAGGTATCATTTCTTTGTTTAATGATAGAAGACACTTGGTCTTAAGCATTTCAAAACATTACGCCCAATTGGATTTGGTCCATTAGTAGATTAGTATTAGAAGTCGATTGTTACGGAGGGCGGAAAACCGGAGAAACCCCTTAAAGCATACACAGGAGAGAACTATCAAACAACCCTACTCACATATCATGGCAAGTCCGATGATCGAAACATGACCAGAACGACGCGCGCATAGCAGCCGGAGTACCATGGTACTGAAGGTAAATTTGATTAAATATATTAGGGTTGTCGGCCGGTTATTGAGTATTGTTGACGTAACGAGCATCGCGCTGTCGCCTTGTTGTTGTTGGTACTTACAGAGCCAAGTACGGAACGTACGGCCCTTATTTAAAGTGGAATATTTAAGTTAAAACCCTTTGACCTTTGGAGTTAAACAACAATTTTGCAGTCAAGGAACAAAACGATATCCAAGACAAGATAAGTAAATACAACTGAGTATAAAGATCTTTTGACTTAATCAATCGGGGGTAAAACATACAAAAAATCCAAGCACTTTAGGTGTCCTAGTGCTCTTGGTCCCTGACTAATAACGGCTACGGCGGAGGAGACTACCTCGTCCTGGAGCGGCGAGGGTTTTTGGGTGGTCTTGGTATGGGATCAATATCTATCATACAGGTTTAATTATCTGTGGTTAATTTCGTATTATCAATCGTGGGCTTAGAGATAAGGGATGGACCATTCGATAATTCATGGGGGGTTGCAGGAATTTTGGTTGCATGATATTTATTTTTTTGGCTCAACCCTTGCACGTTATTWTTTTGCGTACAGTTAGATATTTTTCTTCTAGCAGAAGAGGTTGCACGATATTTTTTTGAGGTTTAAGTGCTTGCTCGATAATTTTTTGGGGCTTTACGCGACCACCCCCCCCCCCCATCAACTATCTAATGGTCCGTCCCTAAGCAACAAGTCAGCATCGCTTCAGATAACTGTAAGTTTGCAACTCCGCATTCAAGCTATACTCAGTATTTGGAAGATATTTTTAAAGGTGTATTTTTTTGTTAGTTGCCATCGTTTGTTTGTGTTTGTTATTATATTTGTTTGCTTTTTTTGTGTTGGTTGATTTGCTTTTCTTTGTCCGCTCTTGTTTACTTGTTTGTTCTTTTTCGTTGTTTATTTTCGTTATTTTTATAATCATTATCATTAGTATCACCGCCATTACTACCATCATCATCATTACTACATCGTTGTTGTGGTTGTTGTTGTCAGTGGTGTTCCTCTATAATCTCCTGGAACTCGTTGTTATTATTATCTTTATTGTCGTAATATTCTATAGTGTAGTGACAGGTAGCTATAACTCGTACGATAAACACACTCACGCGTCACGTCATGATAAAGTAAAAGCACTCCACATCCCCAATGAATCAACATCCAGAGGGCAAGCGAACCTATTTCACTTACACACAACAGAGGCCAGAGAGCAGAACCCATTCATCTACATACACCAGCGGCAACATCCACTTGTTTGGAATAGCCCTCGATATTGTACTCTTTGATCGAACAAACCCTATCCACTTATAATATTAAATAATACTACAATAACTAATGCCATACCTGCCATTAACAGTCATTTATTCATTCTGACTGCAGTATTCTTCATACCGGGGGGTCCAATTCAAACAACACGTCTTTCACAATACTTCATCCGGTAAAGCAGACTTACGAGATTCTTTTGTTTTCATTTTTTCGAAGTTTAAAAAAAAAACCAACTTCTTCATCTGATCGGTCACCACAGAGGCTCTAACAATAAGTTCGTGGATCATAAGAATATACGTCGATACAGAACGATTAAGCGTAACGATATTCGAACGGCCATGCTGACATTGAAAAATTATGCATACATAGTACCGGTTTAGCAAGGGCTTTGATTTTAGATCTGACGTGGTTGATTGGGAAGGGGTATCTCACAGACCAGAACCACATGTAAAAACCAATCAACTATCATCTAAACAATGCTTTTTGAGTTTCAGAAGCAAATTCAAGAAAGGTTCACACCAGCCTTAGCTATCATACCAGTCAAATGCATTAGCGTACACAATTCTAGGAATTGATAATTATGTATAGCCGAATCGTGGAGATTAGACGCTACAAATGGTCCCCTTTTAGAACGTTTTCGCTATACTATGACTAAAGGTATGAACTAAACTAAGCACAAAGAGGTCTTCGTGGTAAATGGAGGAGGATAAATGGATACGAGTTGAGAGCCTTAATCCGTGCCTAATCAGAAGTATTCATTGCATGAGTAACAATTGCCACTAATGGTCGGATACTTTGTCCACGTGGACCGTGGGCGTGGTACCCAATCCATCTTAAAAGATTACTTTATTTTGACAGAAGGCAGGAAAGCATATTTCTTCTGCGCTTAAAGGAATTTCAATGAGCGCTCCGCGTTTTCGTTTTTTTTTTTTTTTTTTTTGGTCATTCTCTGCCTAGTTAACGCTCAGGAAGGAGAAACGAAATGTTTACCCTTTACGTCGTGATAAACGTGGCGGTATTTTTTCCTTTGATGGCTTTCTTTTTCGTTATCGGATGCCGAGCCATGGTGCACCAAGAATTTGTTTATTTTCTATTTTTAGATTACCATATGCACGCGTCATATTAATAAAAGTACTCTTCAAGCATAACTATACCTTGGTTTTCATTTCGTCTCAGGCGTGGATTTTTCTAGACTAGAAGCAACAGACTGCACATGGACTTCAACACGATACTTCCACGGTATGGTCGGCTTGTTGCTGGTGGACTATGAGTGAAACTCTCTGCCAAGAATAATGACACTTGGAAAGTCTGGGGGAAAATCATAAATGCATTAAAGTAAATGAATGATAACTTAAGCATATTCTTTTTTTTTTTTTTTTTTTTGGTAACGGATACTTGGTAAAAATGTTTGGTAAAAACGTAAAAATAAGTTTCTACCATTATTTTTTAAACTATAAATGGCAAAAAAAGCATGACTATTTTTTTAGTAAGACAAAATAACCGTTAGGAAAACAACAATTTCGGGGAAAAACCCAGACGGCGTGTAATGGTCTTGCAGCTTTGGTTACTGAGCGTCCACCGTTACAAAAAACGCCAGCTGGAAATTGAAAAAGTCTTTACGCTTCGCTACCACAAAAATGAATCATGTAGTTAGCAAAATACCTGTAGGGTACCATAGCAACGGGATTCTTCCACAGACACGAATCAAAAACCGGGTTTATTTGTTCGTTACACGGAAACAGAAAATTTTCATTTTCAGAACTGGAAGGACGGGAGATTGACCCGGAACACGAAAGGGATAGTTCAATTTTTTTGGAGGGAATGTTTCAGTATTGATTGACCACCTCAGCTAGGTGCTCGGAGATATCATTTTGGGGTATCATATATGCACAGTGCAGCGATGAACCAATGGCTGCCTCGCATACCGATACAGCCATCGATCCGCCCACAGCAACCAATCAGAGCCCACACAGGAAACGCAAAACAACACAGGGAACACGTGGATGCACTAAGCCTCGAAATTGACCGTATTTTCAGTAATTTAAGGGTTTCATTCATTCAATGCTGTTCGCTTAAGGTATCGACGAATACAATTAAACCCTACATCTTCAAAAACTCGGACATTTCTCTGGAACCTGTTTAAGGCCCACGTACTACGCCTCAGGTATGTGATTCACTCAGTTTACATAACCAAATAATTCTAATTTTTTGGAGTAGATCTGAAACTTCTGCAGGAAGAGATCGAGTCAGTATGTCTAATCTTCAACCATGAGGTTGATGGTTCGCTATGAAAGACGGCTTTTTAGATCCTTAGATTGATATATTTTTCAGATCGGACCAGCATTCCGAGTGTCTTCCACCATGAGCCCCTCTATATACTAGGCAAACACGACGACTGTTCGAAATTCCAATAAAATCGTGTTTGCCTTACTGTCACTCCAACAAAAGCTCGACATGGATTGATTGCTGGGCATCAGCGCCGCATCTAATTCTTCTGCAATGGCTACAAAATACGAAGAAGTGGCTGAAATCGGAACCGGAGCGTTTGGAACCGTCTACAAGGCAAGAGATCTGTTGAACGATGGCCAGTTCGTAGCACTAAAGAGAGTTCGCATTATCAACACCGAAGACGGTATCCCACTCTCTACCATCCGAGAGATCGCCTTATTAAAACAGATTGATCACTGTGCTCATCCGAATGTTGTTAGGTAAGGAAATTACAGGCATGATTGTTATTTTGATTGATAATATTCAATCAAGAATCTGTCCTATTCCGTGCTGTAAGCGGAACTCACAAATATCATTTCCAAACTCGAGGCATGCAGGAATCTGATCTTCAGTCTTGAAGCTCTCGGAACTCGAATATCATTCTTTGATTTTATTCTTAGAAAATTAGCAAAAATCTACTCAGTATCGGATTAATTCGTAATCACGTTATTAACAGTATTAAATTTGTGATAATAAAAAAATTACGAATTTTCTGACTTGGTCGATTTCACAATGACCAAGTTCATTATCATGTCGAACAATAAAAAGTTCAATAAATGACACATTCCTCAAGCAGACTTGAGCTACACTGCTGCATTATTTTGACATGCTAACAATTTATTACTTAACTTCTAATAGGGCATACTTCAAAAATGCATCTTGCATATTCGTGCAGGGCTGGTTGACTTTACAGAATATTATTCTAAATTACCAAGTCTGTATGCTCAGGGAGATTAGGCCTTCTTTAGCATAAAAATAGAATCATTCCCTAGAGAAATTACATAAGAATCATTGGTGCTCCGGAAGTCCAGGCTCTTTTATCAACCCAAATATTTTCAATTGTTTATTTTTTTCTGTGCGCGATCAAAAATATTGCAATTCATTCGATATTCGATCGTTTCCGGTTGATCAGTTTGTGTGTGAAATTCACTCCCAAGCAACAGGAAATAGATTCGAATACAAACTCCAACGTGATTGGTTCGATTTTGGTGGGTAATTTAAAACCCCAAGTTAAGTCGTAGATTTCCATAAAAACCATTATGAAAAATCCGCTATATTTTGTTTGAAAACAAGCAGTTTTTTGGACTCCGCTATGTAAAATATGTTTTTACCCGAAAATAGGTTTATTGACCTAATCCTCCCTGGGATTAAGTACGACATTTTGTGTGTTTTTGTGTGCTAACGTAGTCAAGGATCGAATTTCACTCCATGATCTAAAACTCACTAAAAACCATTCAAATCCTCTCAAAATATACCACAAAAAACCAATTTAAAATTAATCTTAAACCTCCTTAAGTTTAAGATATTTTAAGTTGAAACAGACTAAAATATTTATAAATTCAAGGATATTTTTGTTAAGTGTTTGGACTTTGATTACTTTGTGGATTTGACATTTTGATAAAAGTTCAAAGTTAAGAATGCATAATTTTTAAAACATTTTCCCCAATGAGTTAGGATTTTTGGAAGAGATAAAAGACTAGGGAAAATAGTAAATTAAACTCTGAGTTCTTGATTAAAAAAGAAATTGTAGATGGTGGAGGAAGGTAAAAAGAAGCAGTACAGGTCTAATGAGCTTGCTTAAGTTGTCATAAGGATTCCAAACTCAAGTTTCTTAACCATGGTTCTTATTTGTCTTTTCACAATTAGTCAAAGTATTTTTAATTCTTGTACTAACAAAACCAAGCTAGTAATTGACAACTTCTGATGAGGTTAGAAAAGGTTGTCTGGTGATTGCATTCCTCATTCAATGTCAAACCAAACTGTAGTTTATTGGATTGGGGGGAAAAAACCAGCATGAAATATCATTCTTTTGTCTTGCTACAGTACATTTGTACCAGAATAATAGCCTGTGTTTCTGTTCCATTCATTCTCCATGTGTATTTTAAGTATACTTCAAAGAGTCACATTAAACAATGGCTGATATTTATCTACTAATCTCATTGAAGTGCTACTAAAACTTCTCTTAAACCTTTTTTGATAGAAAACTCAAATTTACCACAACTACTACAATCCTAAAAAAAAATTAGCCACCTCATATGACTATAGAGAGACAAGTTACATACTTTATTATTATTATCTTTCCCCATAAGGGCTTTTCAAAGTTTAACTCTACCACACCCAGGAGCTACATAATAATAAAATACATTTTTGACTCAGTTACTTTGGAGAATTGATTTTCATCTAGAAACTCAAGGTTATAGAGTCAAAGATAAAATCCTTGAGATACTTTAATAGCACTTTTAGTGAAGTCAACTTTTATTATCTCTGCCGAAAGAATAAACTATTAAGGAGCACATGGTTCTTAGTACATTAAGAATGATATTTAGCAGGTACCAAAGGGTTCTCCAGATTATTTTCTTCAATGAATGAAGTGAATACCTTAATGTGCTATAGATGAGAGGTTCTGCACAATAACAAGCATTGTATGGTTGACATCAGGTACGCTTGGCTTTAGATTGAATTGAAATATAAAGCTAGTGCAGTATTTTAAAGAAAACTCCATTCAACTTCAACAACACTTGGCTATTCTAATGAATATTGACTTCAGCATCTGTTAGGAAATAATTCATTTTAATTTTTTTTCAAGCCCTTTGATGAAATTGTTCCAAGTTGATAAACAACCCAGGATTGGAGCTGTTTATGGCAATTTCTAGGAAATTCTAGACTTGACATCTAACATAACTATGGTATCCTCTAGACTTTTTTTTTGAATGTTAATGTTTGCATCCATGCCTAGAAGCTTGGTGTAATACATATTTTGGTACTTGCAATATTGTTCTTCTCAATATATGCACATATTATTATGTAATGATGTGACAAATAACATATTTAGAGATAAAGGTTTTCAAATGTGTGGCATTATTAGTTAAATTATTTAGCTATTTTTATTGCAAAATATTAATTTTTCTTTTAAAAAAGGATTTATTATTATATTGAAATCAAGTAACTGGTCAATCCTTTAAAAACATGAAGCTATTTTGATAAGTTTAAATTAAACTTATATTTTCCAACCTGTTGCATTCTTTCACAAATTAAGCTTCTAATAAAGACATTAATCTTGAAGCTTAAAGTTTGACTTAAATATTTCTGGAGAAAGCATATGTAACTCAATTCTCATCTGCAAGTTTAGGATAATCATTGAGGGTCGTAGATTGAAGAACACTTGGGTAACTGAGCAAAATGCTCTGGCTTATATAAACTACCATTGTCTTCTCCTATTATTTTAAAACTTAAATGAAAATTCTGCCAGGAATCTTAAGCTAGTTCATTTTCTCCTATTTTTCAAGACTTAATGAAAACCCTGCTAGAATAATTATTAGAGGATTTTTGTTTGTCTTTACAGACTACTAGACATCTTTCATATTCCCATGGTCTTGCTCAAGGAAACACATCTTAATCTGGTGTTTGAGCATGTTGAACAAGACCTTGCTGCTTACATCGATGAATGCCCTTCACCAGGAATAAGTGAATGGAAAGCAAAAGTAAGTAGCACCTTTGCTTTGCAGCATTCTTCTAGCTTATTGATTAAACTCCTGCTCAAGTCATACTACCTCTAATTATTATATTAGAATGAACCACAAGTTTTGAAGTTGAATTCTTTAATCAAAAGTCTGGTATATTTTAATGCTGTTTTTTGATAAATGCAAAGTTACAAAGACTGCAAAAGATGAGTCCTGATGCTTTGTGATACATTTAGTTGGTTATTCTTGGAAAACAAGGAAGTCCATGCATTCATCAGCTTGTATGCTGTTACCTACATCTAACCATGGGTGGGGCTCAAGCAGCGTTAGTAATAATTAAGCATGCATAAATGCATGAAGAAATCTATATTGCAATGTTTTCTTACCATCTGTCTTAGATTTTTCTAGATTGGATTAGTTCTGTGAGGGGGTTAATAAAATAATTCTAACCGTCTAGCAATCTTTAAATTCATTATTCACTGAAAAACCAGATGGCATCAAACCACAAGCATATAACACAAACATTATTGAATGTTTTGAAATGTTTACTCTTTGTTGACAGGATATTTCTTACCAGCTTCTCAATGGGGTGGATTTCTTACACACACATCGCATAGTTCACCGCGACCTTAAACCACAAAATATTCTCATTACGAAAGAAGGACAAGTCAAGATTGCTGACTTTGGACTTGCAAGAGTTTACAAGGATGCCATGGCTCTGACGTCTGTGGTAAGAATTTCCTACAGCTTGTTAATTAATTATGAAATTATCTTGACATTAAGTTGTTAATATTGTTTGACAGCTAATTTATTTTTAACTTTAATAAATAATTTACGAGAAATTATTAAAACTTTTCTATTACTCTTTAGAGTCTTAAAAACAAAATGTTGGTAGAATGACAATTGCTGAGACTTGTGCAAGCATGTGAGAACTTGAAAAACAAAGTCTGTTTATTTTATGTTTGCAAAGTTATTAAAACTACCTAAGCCAATCAGAATGCCCATTCACATGAGCACAACAAGTTTTTTCAAAAAAAAAAAGATTGTTACAAATATATGACCAGTCTAGTAATTTGCGTGTTCAAATTACCATTTAACTCTGTTAATTGTTGGTAGTGGTTAAAGAAACCATAATAGCAGTTATGTATAGTTGACTTCAGAGTTGAGAGTCACCAACAGCTGTCAGTCACCTAAAAAAACAATCTTTGCCAAAACTACACCACCCACCCAGACTATTCCATTCAACAATCAAATTACAACCATGTTGACTAAAATGTTTGCTTGAGTTTAATAAAGTCAGGTATTTATTGTGCAGGATACATGGTGCATGAGCAGAGCTCCTAGGGAAATTATATGTATATTATAATTATTATATCATAGTATATATCATAGTATATATTATAGTATATCATAGTATGTTATATCAGATATTATATCATAATATCTAGAGAGTTTTAAGAATTTTAGACTTACAAATACAACTTAGGAAGTTATGGGTAGCACAGTAGGGAATAGGGAGGTAATTTATAAATCATATTGTATTTTTCATCTTCTAATTATTTAATTTATTATCAGTTTTATGTGATGTAGGCATTCCTGAATAAAGATTGATTATTATTATTATCATTATTATTATTATATACGAATGCCAAGGCATGTCATAATAAATAACTCGACTAATTTTCACTTGAATTCATAGTTTTGAATCTAATTAAGTTACTGTTACATCAAGTCGATCCAAAATGTTTAACCCTAAATGTGTGTCATTTCCACTGAACTTTAAGAAGTTGTTTGAAGAAAAAACAAGCAAAATAAATAAGAAAAAAAATCAAGACACCAAACTACAAGATTTTTTTGGTATCATCAAATGTGTCATTGAATTATACAGAACTGTCAAAGTGGGTGTGGTGTGGAAATGTGGGCATATTACATCATGTAACTCGCAAATACTTCAGTTTTGAAATGATTTCTGTGTTGCTTGGGACTACGCTTTATTTTATGTAGAATATTCATGCGTTGCAGTGTATCATTATTTATAAGTTTAATATTTATTACACTTTGTTTGTGACAAATCTCAAAAATACAGAATGTCAGGACACCATGCGTGTCCAACAGTGAAACTAATTATAGCCAGTCTAATTACTTACGGAATTGCAAGGTCTTTGTATTATTGAATTTATATCTTTACTCTACTGTTGGTATTCATGAAAATGTTTATGCTAAGATGATAGTACCTCTGAAGAAATGAGTCTGTAATCAAAAAACATAGCAGTATTTTACAACAAATTTAAGATAGGGCTAACCCATAACTTGAAAAACTCCCTCCTTCAACAAATGCTGCTCTGATTTAATATTTTTTTATAGTTGTCATACATGCATGCACTAATATAATAGCATGCACTAATTTAGCGTCTAAAGAATAGATAAGATCGCCATGTCATTAAGAAATCATTTGTAAAAGTCATTAGTCATAATTTACAAGATGAAAAATAATCACTGTGTCTGTACAAACAAGCTAATGTTGTTAAACAACCCCATTAAATGCCTATTAAATTACAACCAACGTTGATAGTCCACAAAAAAAATGATCCCAAATGTAACTTATTTGCCTCCAATGACCACATAGTTTTTGTTTGGGGGGGAGGGGTGGGGGAATTGGAAAAGGGTGGGATTCTGGTTGTACCTTTAAGGGTTCCACATCTGTAATTTGGTACCTCTTAGGGTGTAAATAAAAAGGACCACCAGAGAGTAAGCCATTACCTCTTAAGGTGTTTGTCAGGTAATAAGATACCGGAGTTCATATTAATGACAGCCAGAATGGTCTTGACTTCTGTGTCTGAACTAAACTTTTTTATTTGACTTCCAGGTCGTTACATTGTGGTATAGAGCACCTGAAGTCTTGCTACAGTCTAGTTATGCTACGGCAGTCGACATATGGAGCGTGGCATGCATAATGGCCGAGTTGTACAACAGAACTCCCTTGTTTGAGGGAAAGTCAGAAATGAATCAGTTAGTCAAGATTTTTAGGTAGGATTTTTTAGAGAATGCCTGGAACTGTAGAATCTGATTGGCTTACGTCATAACAAAAGATGGATTCTCTGTATATGATTAGCTAAAAATATTAGATTCCCTTTTCTTGCACTGAAATGTAATGGATCCAGAGGATGGGCTGACTGGGTGGCAATCCCACAGCTCTTTCAAAACAATCCTTTGATAAACTGTTGGCCATTCTGCCTTACAACAGGGACTCAGTTCTGGTCGTCAAATACATCTCTTATTACAGACTCCCACATCAAAACCTGTTTAAACCAGTATCAAACCGAAAAACTATGCATCTCATTATCCAGATTCTTGGATAGCGGCATTAAGAAAGAACCACATGACTTCTGCAGTCTCCTTTCTTTCTCTCACTCAGGAGAAATTAAAGAGAGACTCTGTCAGCAGGATACCAATCACAGTACCCGAAACTCTATAATTCAATAGACCAGTTTCGAATTCCAAATTACCGCTGTGTTTCTTGATTACAGACTCATTTGCACAGGGTTAGCCTTGTATCAGTGTTTAAATATTCACAAATAACAATGGTAAAGTAAAGAATGCACAACTTCAACAATACAAACACTTTKAAACTCGACGGACCTTGACTGGAACACATGAATATTCTGCACAAACTTGAGGCTAACCCTGTGCAAATGAAACACAGCGGTAATTTTGGAATTCGAAACTGGTCTATTTTGAAATTATACTAATGATTATTATTATTATTATCATTATTTATGACATTTAGTTATGCAGCCTCCTGTTATATCAGCCCCCTGTAATACCTTTGATCCATCCACTTATGCAGTCATTCTTTTGCCCTCTAGTGTAATAGGATTACCACCTCAAGCAGATTGGCCACAAGGGGTCTCAATACCATGGCTGTCATTCCACAAGTACACTCCTGAACCTCTTGAAAACTTAATCCCAGAAATGTGTCCAGAAGGCTTTGATCTAATGAAGGTAATAGGGAAAATGTGTGCACTTTATTTCTAGAGAGATTCTAGTAAAAGATTTCATATGGCAATCATAATCAGTCAAGTCAAGATATTAAAATTCTGCACAATATTGAGGTTCTCTGGGAAAAAATGTTCAAAGCCATAGCAGGGACAGATCCAGGGGTGGTAAAAGAGGTGACAAGTCACCCCCCCCCCCCCCCCCCCCCCCACCTAGCTTACAATGTAAATATCTAAGTATATCATTAGTTACAGTCACTCCCCTTTTCCTCGTGTTCCTGTTAAAATCTTCATAATAGTCAACCCCCCTTCTAAAATTCCTGGATCCATTCCTGCGTAGGGGGTACAATCGATTGTGTTTAATGAGGTTTGGATAAACCCCACCTAGATAGTATTTCCTTGAATGACATTTTTCATTATCCTTGATATAGAAAATGCTGGTGTTCAACTCAAAGAGTAGGCCAACAGCTTGTGAATCAATGCAGCACCCATACTTTCAGGAGCTTCAAGAAAACGACAAAGAGAATTCACAAAGTAACTCAAACACAAAAAGCCATTGACATGGCCAGATGACAGACAGTCAGGCAGAGGGACAGACACTTCCATGAATGGATGAATATTGACAGTGAGTGAAATAGTGTCTTGAACAACATTATCCCTACATTGTACAAAGTGTGCGTAAGGAACGGGATACTAAGAGTGACCAAAAAAGTAACAATCTAACAGTTTCATGAAGGGTATAAATGTGTTCCTGCGTGATAGTTATCTTATTAAATTAGAGTATTTGCAGTTTTTATTATTAATAGAGTGTTATTTATTATAATTATCAAAACTTGATTTAACGAAAACTTAAGTGTGATTATTTCGTTGCTATTTTCCTGATATAAGTGCATATGGTTTTGCTATTTTGCCTTAAAAGCAACCCCAATAATATTATCAAATACTAGAAAGACAGAAAAATGGGGAAAACTTATTTGAGGTTTGGATCCATTCTTATTTTAGGGAATTTAGTAACCAAATGCATTAAGTCATTTAAAGGTGCTTTTATATGAGACAGTGTTCCTTGCAACTTGTCTTGCGATTTCACTTTAAGTTCAATTAATTGCACGAGCTTCAAGTAGCATACCAAAAGCTTCTCTCGCAATAAGTATGGATGCCACTATCACTAAAAGAAATATGAGATCATATTGCTTGCGCACATTAATTGCAACACTGAAACATTCGCTGTTAGAGCAACTGCATGGCACAACAGATTGGAACGTAAGAAAAGTTACAATGAACATTGGCTAGTCTAAATAAAGCACCTTAAACCAAGTGTGACACAACTTGTCATTACCACAAGTTAACAAAAAATTGAGTGTACATGATTTTTATTAAGATTAAATAATCTTTAGTCAAATCAATTTAATATTTAGTTTCAAAAGTGTTGATCAAATGATTTTTTATTGGAGAGTATTATTTTTATTGCGTGTTTTATATGATACTAGGTCAGTTTTTTTACCAAATGTGTATTTATAACTTTAAAAAAGTCAATGGAAGTCAGTGTTATATTTTGGTAATAATCCAGTTATAAAACTCATCAAAGTTCAGTTCCTCTTTAGCTTGGGCACAATGTTTTCCCATTTCAGACCATGTGTCGTTCTCTTGAGAGTAAGATTCTTTATTTGACCTATATGCATGTTTGTGTCTCTTCTTGTGTGGAAAATCACAAGCTATGGGAGACTTTGATTAGGTTTCACAGTAGCAAAATTTCATGTATACTAAAGGGTAATTCTATGGGAGGTTTACTTTTTGTGGGTTCTCCTGAATCTTGTCAAGGAATGCCTCTATGCCTTTAAAATGTGAGAAATTTATAGCATCTCTGATAATGATAAATATTTTTGTCACCACTAAAATCACAAACCTTTGGCACATGTAACATTGATTCTTGGGGGCCAACACACCCTCAACCAAATGAATCTAGATACAACACTAGAAAAATATAAGAATAACCCGTAATGGATTTTCAAAATTGTAGACATGAGTATCTAGACAGGAGGGTACGCACTTAGTGTAGACACCCAAAGTATTCCGATAGGCACACCCAACAAGATTATACATACTTTTATGGTAACCCACATTTTACTTGCAGCGAGCACAATCGAACCTTGAACACTTTGAGTTTTTTTCAGGTTATTGTATTTCCCAAACTTTGTACCGTTTCAAGCTCTTCAAAATGAAGCAAACAGTTGAAATACATGGAGTGACCCATTTCAAGGGATCATTTACTAATAACAGTATGCATTTTGAAAAGGTGACAAAAAATTGAAGTGTTCACGGTCCGAGTGTCCTCACTGTAGTATTACTAGGAAGCCTGTTTTCTAGGCTTTATTTTTTACTTTTAATTAATATTATCCCTGCTAGAGTTTTGATATATTGAATGTGGCATATTGGCATTAACATTTAAAATAGGTATGTATATATCATCATCATCATATTAGTATAGTAACTTAACATTTAAGCAGTTCTGAATCGATGGTTACAGCCCATTGATACCTAGTATATAAGCATTAACTCTGGAAATGTAAACTTCAAAAACTTTCTTGGAACCCAAGAACTTATCAGTAACTGAATTATTGATGTCAGTGTTTAGAATATCGTAACTTTGACGAAGAGAATTACTCTTACAAAACATGATCTTGAATAATAATTTCTCTTGATAGTTTCTATTTTTTCTAATTCATGTAACCTACCTCCCCCTACAGAGGAAGATATTTAGATACCCCCTCTACCTACCCGGAAATTCAATGGCCATACAAACTCTGTAATTTTGTTCCTTCTTTGACCCCCCTACCCCTTGGATAGTCCAACTTCCTCTGTGGGGGGGAGGGTATGGATAATTTCTGGAACTACACATTCATATGTGTAGTATTTGTACATGTATGTTTCTGTATGGATTGGTATTGTTAATTCCTAATTAGGCTGCATTCATAATGTATGGCAGAGGGGTTGGGGGTAGGTGAAATCTTTATATGACAAAAAAATTCTTAAGACCCCCCTTGAAGTTCCCCAAAAAATAACTATCCCCCCGGGTAATCTCTCGTAGCTTCTTCTAAAAATTTTCCATCCCTCCAATTCTCTGAAAAAAATTTTCAAACCTCCCCATTTTACTGGTAAACATTTTTCTGATCCCCACTAAATTTCACCTGCCCTCCCCCCTTATAATAACTATAAATAGTAAGCATATTACCTCAAAACCATTAGCTTACTGTTGTACTATTAAACAAGACCCCATTTTCAAGTGACAAGTGGTAATCCATGGAATGGCATTAGAAAGTGCTGAATAATCGTTTCAACTCCTACCATTAAGAAAATTATCTATACATGATACACATGACAAAAGAGTGACCCTGACCATATTGTATAAGGAATAGATGTGTTTGTCTCATTTTAGTATGTAACATCAAATTCCATAATCAACTTTGAGTGTGTAATAAAGTGTGGAGAAAGGTTCGTTGAATAAAAATAATTCAAAATTATAATTGTGTTGTGATGGTTTAATAGAACAATCTTCAGCCTGAAAACTCAGTTACTCAAATCTCTCGAAAATCAAATAAAACCTTGGTTTTAGATAATTTTTTCAAAAACATTAACTGCAGAGCTAGGACATAAAACATTACTAAGAATGATGATGTCATAATTATTATAAAAATGACGAACTCAGAAATCAAAAGAAAAATAGAATGATTTCATTTCTTGGAAAACAATCCTGGATCTTAGACACCAAGTTATTAGAAGGTGTTATCACTAAATATGAACATTGCCAGCTATTTGGATGGATTGCATAATTTGCTGGTATATGGAATGATATCATTTCTTGTAAAATAATTGACAAGTTATTATGAGACGTCATATTTAAGATCTGAGCATTACCAGCTATTTAAAGATGGATTGCATAACTTCCTGGTATTTCCTTAAAGTCAAACAACTTGACAGCTCAACCTTAATCTTACAATTTCGCAAGGAATTTCATGTACCGTAGAATTTTTTAACATAATTTCCTTTCCCCACAATTATCAAGAGAATGCTTACATGTGGAAAAAGGATGCCGACACATGGAGAAAGGAATGCAGACTAAAAGGTTGATGTTTTTGGGCATAACGTCATATGCAATTTGCTCACATGGTACATAGAACTTAAGCTATCATATTACAGATTTTTAATTGGACCAAGACAAAATGACTGGTAGATGCCACAATCTACTGATGTCCATAGTACTTTAGTGAGACGCACTCAAAGTTTTCGATAGAGTTCTGATAAAGTTCTGGATCAAATGGGTCCTGAAGCAATCACTGTGGCTCCCAGTACTTTGACAGCCCTTGTTAACAGTAGCAAGTTTATAATTTATGCTTAATTTTCTAAATAATAAAGGATGTTTTTCAGATTTTTTTCCCTTTAAAAATGTATTTTCAAATAACCCAACATGTATGTCTTAAAGCCCAATTTGTTAAATATTTAACAGATATGATTATAATATAAGAAAAATAGATTAAAATAACAGTAATAATAATAGTTATAAAACTACCAGTAATAATTCCTCTATATAGTTACCTGTAAACTCTACATCTTTGTTTTCTCTTTTAAATCATTCTTTTTCCTCATCTTCAGATTCTACCTCATCTGTTATCTTCACATTTTCTCCCATCTTTTCTTGTTCTTTCTTTTTTTCATCTTTTATTTTAGTCTCTACATTTTCATTCGCATCTTTGGATTCTATTTCTAAGCCTTCTTTAGTGTCTTGACCCTCGTCAGCTGTCGTATCCACGTTTTCTTTGTCATCTTTATTATCTACATTTTCATTGGCATCTTTGGATTCTATTTCTAAGCCTTCTTTAGTGTCTTGTTCCTCATCAACTGTTGTATCCACTTTCTGCACATTTTGTTTGTCATCTTCTCTATGTTCACTGCAAGTATTATCAGATGAGTTCAGACAATTAGTTTTGTCATTCTTGTTCGTACTCTCTTTGACTGGTGACTCTTTGATAGGATCATTCTTGTTGGCAACATTTTGGACCTCTTGTATGTTATATCTTTTCAGCTTATGGAAATCTTTTACCACAGTGAGACAGCAAATATTCTAGATAAAATAAAAGTATTGATAATTAGGGTTTTACTATATTTTTCCATTTCAGTTACAGTAAAAACAAACTGTATTTATTAGCCATATACTTAAAAAATAAAATAACCTCAAGGAAATGATTCATACTCTATTCTAAAAAAGTAAAATTTAATGCCTTAAATAACGAGGTTTATTAATGACAAAGATAGTTGAATTCAACATATGGGATGGCATAACAAGAATGCAATTGAATTTTCATTTTTTTTAACTGCGAGCTCACAGATAGAATTGGAATTTAGCTGGTTGGGTTAAATTGTGAAGAGAGGAAGACCCAAAGAAGGAGAAACTCTACTCATATGTGATGCTGGGTCCAGGAATCAAACCTGAATCCCCAGAGGTGAAAGGAAATTGCACTACCACTAGGCTACACTTGCTTGCAAAAATATCACAAATTCATAAATTTTCCATAAAGCTTACCCTGATAATTTCAACACAAATAGTCAGGTCTGGATATTTGAGGTCAACACTATGATCTTTCCCGGAATCCAACACCAAGCGTGCAAGGATACCAACAACATCATCACGATGAACTGTATCATTATTCCTTGCTTTGTAAATCACACAAAACTGAAAATGAAAACAGATTTTTATTTTCCACAATTATAATATTAAACTAGTTTTATTGCTGCTGTGCTGCCACTGTGCTGCAGTTAATAAAGAAAAGAAAGGGTGCACAACCAAGAATTCTGCCATGCATGGCATTATATAATTACATGCCCACATTAGGCCTTCTTCTAAGTTTGTTAAAAATGATGCATTGTGGTCTTACTTGGGTACAAGTTACAAGCCTATAATAGGGAATGATGAACATGCGATAAACAGGATGCATTGTGGTCTTACTTGGGTACAAAAAAGCCCATAATAGGGAATGATGAACAGGTGATACCACAGTGTAAAATGTTCGCTATCTCAGAAAAGGTCTTTGTCACGCTCAGTAGCAGCTTTTTATAATTTCATTTTCACCTTGGTTGGCTGGGCACTGTCATTGAAGAAATGTTCATCAAAATATTTTTCGGCAGCCTTCTCTATCTCTTCTGTCCTGGCATAGCAGCATACACCAATGGGAAGAAAGCGCAAACAATGCCTGAAAATCATTAATACTTGTAATCAATAATCAACATTATTTAATCTATCCACCCTTTTGCCCACTTACGAGAACACACCCATCCATTTACCCAACCCTCCCATCCATCTGCCTATCCATCCACTCATCTATCAACCCACCCATCCATAAACTTACACATCAATCCATCCATGTATCATTTACTCACCCCCATCTCCCCATCTATCCATCCCTAAGACCATTCAACTCATCCACCCAGAAATACGCATGCCAACCAAAAGACATTTACCTTGTCTTCTGGTACCCGTTCTCCAGAACATCTGTCAGAATACCATGTACCAAACGATCAGGATATTCATCTTCTGGAAGCATAGTCCTTACAAATATCACATTCTTTGCTCCACTTTTGACTGACTGAAACCTCCTGAAGTCTTTTTTCATGTCTTGCTTCTCCTTTGCAATGGCCTGTTCTATATCTTCCTCTTCACTAGAATCGCTTTTATCAGCTTGGCTCTCAAACTGACTTCCATATAGCTTGTCTGCATACTACAATCATGAAAAACAAGGACATCTCATTCTAAGCTTAAGTAGAGTAACTCACACTTTATCTGTGAAAAAGTGCAAAATTTAGTTTGCACTAAAACAGCACAAAATAGTTCAATGTTTTCTATTTTTTTTATCAGTGCTATTTAGTACTAAATTATGCCAAATATGTAGTATACTGTTTCCCATAAACACATTGTTTGATTACACTTGACACCATTTCCTGTCTCATGCAGAGGATTTGCCTTTTTTGGGTTGGGAAAATGGGATTATATGCACTGGGAATAGGATTCACAAACAACAAAAAAAATAATCAAAAAATGGGAATTAACTTGCATGCAAGCAGTTTCTACACCATCTCGCTCACTCATTGCTTAAAACTTAATAAACGGGGTGGCTATTCGTACACCGTGACACTGACCCTCAAAATTCTGTGTCGCGAAAGTGAGTTGCTCGCTACTGAGTACCGACTCGTCAAATAAGTTTGAATCAAAATAACATCACTGACATGAATCGCCTAACTGGTCTAAACAAAAATATCGTTATTAGGTTGTAAAAGAATACAGAGTTCTCGAGAAAATCGACGAAATTTTTGACTCCCGTACGAATAGCAAATACAAGTCACCGTACGGGTGACGTACGAATAGCCACTCCGTTTATAAAACATGGCTAAAACTGCTATAAACCCAGGGGGAAAACAACGAAAAGAGTATCTAGTCATGATATAAAATATTACTAAAACAGATACTTACCTCGTTTAGGACATTATAAGCTTCTCTTACACAGTTTTTCTCTCTTTCATTACACGTGACAAGAACACCCTTCATGCCTACAGCAAGCGACTCTAAACCTCGTTTCTAATACAAGAAAAAGAAAGGAAAAATAAATAAGAACATGCCTTGAAGATGCATGATGCTATGACATTAATAATTCCATTGTAGGAGAGCTTTACCTTTTTATTAGCACCAGCATATCGGTTCTTCTTAAACTTTCTCTTCTTGTTGTTTGAATCGTCCGCCATTTTGAGTTCCTGCTCTAATGAGTAATTCCGCTGAGTGATCATTGCAGTCTCAACACAGGGAGCCCATAAGATGAATACTTCGGCAGTACTGAAGGAGCTCTGATGCTTCGCAAATGGGATTTGAATGAGATTTAGATCACTTGGAGCTGGAAATTAGAGCATATTTTTGCTAAATGATCTTTGTAGTCTCGTAACCACAGAGAGCTCATGAGGTGAATACGTTAACCTGTTTTGTGGAGACGCGGTTTGTCATAACATACAACGCATTGAATAAAAGAAGTTAGAAAACTGGAAAAAGTAAACATTTTTTTAATCATGGAGTTGTGATTCATTTTCTCCTGGTCAATATATAACAATAATTTTAGTTTGGAAAGACAACCGGTATCTTCTCAGATGATGGCAACCATTACACTGCAACCCTTATTCATTCATTTTCTCATTGATGACATCACGCGCGTTTCAACACGTGATCACATTTGATGACGTCAGAAATAGCGGTAGGCTGAATGTCCAGTCCCGAAGACGAACATTTTGCTTTCCTTTTTTTCTAAATATTGCCGCAGTTTGTGAACTTCAGTCAGTTTTTCAAGTCGCGATCGACCTCAAGGTCAAAGTAACATCCCCTACTGAATGGAAAACAAAGCAGACAAAGAGCTTTACGCACAGTTTGTTACTTTTAGTACTGCTGGTAATATACCTCCAGAACTGTTCCAGCAATCCTGGATCCCTCAAGCAAAAGGACTTGCTATTCGAGGCATTGGAAACATCATTTTATCTGAAAAAATAATTGTTCCCGGAGAGTTTAATCCCTACAAGTTCGTGTCCAAGAATTGGTGGGATTCAGTTAAAGCTGTTAAGATAACATTCCCTAATGGCCTACCTGGACCATCTACTAGAGGACATATAACAGTATCTCAGGTAAAGTGCATCAAAACGAGTTTGACAATTAATCTAGTAAAGACGCGTACAATAGGTCAAAAGAGGTGCGCGCGAGCTTCTTTTTTTCGCTCGCGTCYGCGCGCGCAGCAAACTGATCGATCGAATGAGCTGCGCGCGCGCGTTCAAACAAATGAAAGAGCAGTTATCAGTATGATTGCAAAACGATACGGCAATTTCGTATCCGTACCGTAATTACCGTAGACGTAACTACGGATTATGATTGGATGAATTACTGGAAATCAATTCTAGTTTTACGGCATATCATACCGTTTACGTGCTGTAAGACGTCAGTCACTCGTCGGAAGACCGAGTCTATTGAAGAAATAGAAAACGCGCGCGTGTGCTGTGTGCTGTCATAAAGCACGCGGGGGTTGGCAGAACACGAGAGAAGTGTTAGGAGAAGCACGACGCGTAGCGGAGTGCTTCTCGACACTTCTCGAGTGTTCTGCCAACCCCCAAGTGCTTTATGACTGCACACAGCACAGCAAGCAAGTTTTTTATTTCTTTTATAAAATACAAATTACAATAATAGATAGGAATGACGCAACGGAAAGTGCGCGCGCGTGCAATGTGCTCTCATAAAGCACGCGCTCCAAACCAATCAGAACGCGACATTCATAACAGTTATTTTATAATGTATAGCATTCTTAAATATACAGGTAATAAAAACTATGACGCACGAATTCCTTCTACATCCGTCATTTAAAGTTGAACAAGGAACTAAGCAGCAACTTGCAAAAGTTAACATTGACAGAATTACTGTAGGTTATGAAGTAGTCAATTCTAAATCGTGCGTAAGAAACTTAGGCGCGTGGTTTGATTCAACGCTAAGTATGTCTGCGCATATAAATAAGACCTGCGGCGCAGCCTTCTACCATCCACACAACATAAGTCGAATAAATTACGCAAATTCTTAAGCAAAGATGATGCTATTACACTTATTCATACTTTTATAACATCACGTCTTGATTACTGCAACAGTCTATTGTATGGTCTTCCAGCGTGCCAGCTTAATAAAACACAGCGCGTTTTTAACGCTGCCGCGAGACTCATTTGTTGCGCACCGCGTTGTTTATTACATTACACCACTATTAGTTGATCTACACTGGCCACCAGTGAAAGAACGTACGCAATTTCAGATCTTGCTATTTGTTTTCAAAGCTATAAATGGTATCGCACCTAATTACATTTCTGAGCTTATCAACATAAAGGATAAGTGGAGTTATAACTTAAGATCAGCAAAAGTTTATTACTTGCCCCATTTAATAGCAAGACCAGGATAACAATGGGGAAAAGGTCATTTTCTGTGGCGGCACCCGTTCTCTGGAACGCACTTCCCGCAGACCTTCGCGCCATTAAAGACGTTAGTTTGTTTAAGCGCCATCTTAAAACCCACTTTTTTAAATCAGCATTTTGATAGACATCCTCTGTCTATCTCATGATATATATTTTTTAGTTATGGCATATATTTTCAGTATATATTAATATATACTTATTCATTTTATTTGTAAATAGTTAAATAGTTACATATATTATTAATGAAATGCACGCATGATCATTGTATGGAATGCGCACACAATAAGTGATTAAATTATTATTATTGTAATTTCTTTTTTTATTCAAGGGCGGTGTCTTCAAAGCAGTTTACTGGACAGATGAGCTACTAGAATACCACACCTCAATGCACCCATACACAAAAGGTGATTTCAAGCTCTTATTCATGTTACCAACTCAGTGTTCCACACCAAGCGATGACGAAATCAAGGCAATTTGGGATTTTCTCTACAGAATGACAGGCTTTAAGAGCCAATGCGTATTCAAAATCGACCCCAGCTCAGGGGATTATTCATGCGCATGGCTGTATTCTTGGATCATAGAAGTGTATTTTGGTGCGGGAGATATTATGCCAGCAGCCGTGGTGGAAAAGGTTCGAAATAGTGAGAAGTTCTCGCGGGAATGGAAAATTTGTATAATGAAGGACGATGTACAGGTCACGCCATCTGAATATTAAAATGAAGTTATTCTTTCTCCAGCTAAACATTTGAAATAGTTGTAGCTAAATTACGAGTGTACTGTAAGGAACGTTTAGAAATATACTAAAACGTCATGTAATCAAGATAAATGAACAATGTGTTCATTTAGTACTAGTGGTCGCTAAAGAGGGAAAGTGTAGAGAGTGTACGGGAGAGAGAGTGGAAGAATGAAGAAAAAACAAGTAAGAGAAGGGGTGAGAAAGAACAAATGAAAGAATGAAAAAATGAAGAAAGAAAGCACGCAAGCAACGAACGAAGAAAACAGAAAAAGGAGTAAAAGAAGAAAGAATGGAAAAATGAAACAAAAGAAACGGGAGGCGGCAAAGAAGGTTATTGCTGTAAAATGTGTTTGACATAATATGGGCTTTTGTTCCAGCAAACTTGTTCATAACAATAAACTAACATTAGAACTACGCGAAGGTCAAAATAAAAGGTATCCATGCAAGAGAATTACAAGAACATTGATAGTTGTTTATTCCAGTAAAACAATATATATCTTAGCACTGACAAGTGAAGTAATTAGAGCGGTTTTCATTAACCATGAAACAAAGTGTACTAATTAAAGTGTAATAGTCAGATAAAAACAATAGAGAACAAAAGAATTAGGTTATGAAAATCACTAGACCTAATACAGTGAAATGAATATTAGGCTAACACACTTCAGTAGAACCTAATTATATTGTTTTCTTTTGTCTATTTGACTATTACACGTTGACTAGTATTTTTTTCCCACGGGTTAAATGCCTTCACTCTATTCAAATTAATAATATCTTAAATAAATTGAAATGTAAATTGCAAGTATTCTACAATAGTCTAAAATACTTTGTTTTAGTATTATTATCTATATAAAGTCAAAACCTTTTTTTACAGGCAATTCTTTCTTATTTATTTCTATTTATTTCCCAAACTTAAGATAGCTCATGAACAGGCTGTTGAGATAAGGGGGACCAGGCAAAGAGAAAAGCCAATAGCCAGTTCACAGGCTAACGTGCAAAATGCATCAACTTCACTTCTGAGGTGATCAAGCCCCTTGCCAACCCGACCACCTTCATTTCCTCTCTACATATTGCCGTTGCACTCTAACCTACAAGATTAGCTTTATTTTACAAGTTGTATTCAATCATCTGAAATTACTAAAATAAATTCTTTACAAGTCCAGGATATCATGGGTCATCCAGCCCCATTAACTCCTGCTTTGAAAAACACAGGCAACCCATGATGGGTTTGTATAAAATTATGTTAAATAAGCTATGCATAATTTATATACAGTATCTTATATAGAATTTCAATTTTTTACTAGCAGGAATTCTTTAAATCTCCTCCTTCAGGGAAGCGAGATTCAGGAGGTAGTAGTAGCATTTCAAACATGAAATGCATGAAGCTCTAATTCTTATTTTATGTGACTGCATTATTTGTCAAGTATTTTGTGTATACACCTATACCATAAATCTTTGTCCAAGCAGAAAGCAAGAAGAAAGAAGCTGATGACTGAAATAAATGGTAGGTTGTCTTGTGATCTACTCAAGTCAGACTTTTTTTTGAACCAAGGGGAATATGTGACCTTAGTTCCTGGTAGGTATACTAACATTGTTGGGCAGGTCAAGGGGATGAAGAGCAGTGACCATGCAGCTAATCAATAGACCTATCCCAAATTTGCTTGACTGACCACGAAACGATGGTTTGAAGTCAAGATTGAACTTGATTCTTTTATTCATCAAGTTCAACCTTGACTTGAAACCATTGTTTCGTGACCAGTCAAGCGAATTCGGGATAGGTCTATTGTTCCTGTCAGATTACCGAAACTTCAAATACACAATGAAACCAAACAGATCTGTTGGCAAAGCATTGTTGAAGCCTTATCTGCTATTTGCCATAAAATTATAGATGAAGGTGAAGTGTGATATGTGAAGATGCACATGAAAATGTTCATGGTCTGTAAATGTACTATAGATATAAGTCTGATATTACTAAATTACAAGACCATGCATTCCAGCATTCATTTCAGGCTGCTTCCTGCTTGTTGCTTTCAGACTGCCTGAATGATGATTCTTAGAAATCAGTAGATGTATATTTTTATCATTTTAAACAGAATTTTAAATAAAATAGTATTTACTATATTTGAATATTAATTATATTTTAAAAAGCTATAACCCTTAAATGCCTGAAGTAAGGAACCATTTATAATAATAGGTTGGGGGAGAGGAAGGTTTATGTGGATTTCAAGGAAGGCCATCTATTTTTTCAAATGACAATTATTATTAAGGGCAATTATAATGGTATACAATACCATTGAAAATGAGGGGAAATGTCAAAAGAAACAAAAGAGTGTGGTAAAAGAAGAGATTTTGAAAGCATTTGTATTAAGTTTGTAAATTATCACTGCATGATGTTTCTAAAAAGAGCTATTAAAAGGGTAATACTTTAAAACCCAGAATTATGTGCATATAAATATATACTTGTAGCCCCTCCCTCTTCCCCCCTACCACCCATACTGGCAGCCCCCCCTCTCCCCAACCCATAAATTATGGATGGTCCCTAAGTAAGATTGTCACACCTTATTACCTCTAGATAAATTTCCCTTATCAATGGAGATAAGAGCAGAAAGTACTTTGATCGTGAAAAGCTGTGATTAGCTTCAAGATGATAATACTTATCAAATCTTTTCTTGACTTATTTATAAGCCTGAAGCGAGATGACGTTTTACCCCCGACTCTATACCATAATAGTTTTTTAAATTCTTTCATATTAAAATTTTTCATTCCTTAGAGAATACAGGAACAATAGTCATAATTAAAGAACAAAAGCAATGTGAAAAGGATTATGGTCTAGAGACGGGGGTAAAACGTCATCTCGCTTCAGGTTTATTGGACTAAGGCTTTGTGACTGGTTGCAATGGAAAGACTGTGTTATGCTTCCCCTTTATAAAAGTAGTTTAGTTTAGAGAACTCAGAGAAAAATCAAAATCATTGAATGGAAGGGGGAAGCAACAAGCAACTCTACTCACATATGATGGCAAAGTCAAGCATCAAACCCTTGACCACAGCAGTAAGAGATGGTACATTTGCAGCCCACACCACCAATGATTATCACAAGAAACAAAAAATACTCTTTCCCTTGCTGGTTAAAGTTATAAATTATCAACGTTGGTTTATTTTGGCTCTTCTTGCTTTTGCTTTTTCCTTATCAACCCTTTTCTTTAACTCCTCCTTGTATGATATAATGTCTCCTTTCCATGGAGTAATTGTCTGCTTTTCACACACCCAAATTTCTTCAGCAACCTGAGAAATAACAGCCAGATGTTATTTTTATTGAACATGAATGATAAAGAATGGCCAAAATTGGAAGATATCTGGCCAAATTCCTCATAGTCTTTACCTACCAGTCATCTTAACCAGTTGCATTGATTGTTATTTTAATTCAATTTTTTATTAATAAATGTCGAACATCATAGAGGAAAAAGAAGCTGCCTTGAACCGTTATAAATTAACATATCTTACCCACCTGATTGATGAGTCTAAAGTCATGGCTCACAAGAAGAAGACCACCTTCAAAATCATTGATGGCTTCAGCAAGTGAATCAATTGTCTCCATGTCCAAATGATTTGTAGGTTCGTCAAGCAACAGGAGGTGGGGAGTCTGGAAGGCTAGCCATGCAAAGACTACACGACATCTCTGACCATCTGACAGGTTAGCCATGGGACATGTCTGTTGATTGAATCATTGAGAAGCAAACAATTACTGGTTTGTCCATTTTAGGCCATGCCTTATTCCCTTGTGTATTATTTCTTTGCTAATACCACATCTACATAAAATAACTGTTTCTGAATGGCCGTTATTTATTTCTAAATCCATGCAATTAATTAATTGCACAGCCCACACACATGAATTAATTGCACACATCTGGGAACTTTGTGCAAATATTTCCTATACTAATCAAACCTTCAATTTTTTACCTTTATTCAGATCTTATTAACCGAGCGGGAGGTCTGTACGGGATAATCTTGACGAAGGTCTGTACCCGACCGAGGTCAAGATTATCCCTTACAGACCGACCAAGCTCGGTTGATAAGAGTTTTATTATATGACCACTTTTCATTGAAAAGGACAAAATGTTTTCGCCGTAAGATTAATATGTGATCGGACCGGTCAATACCGGAGAATCTAGACCAGTCCACGATGCGATCTATCCAATCAGATTGCTCCATTTGCTAGTGTCCAGGCTCTAAGATTCACGGTCATATAATAAATGAGGAAATAAACCATATTTTACTAACCTGCTGTTTGCCTGTCAGTCCGTATCTTCCAATGGATTTTCTCATGTCTTCTATTTCTTTCACCTCAGTAAAACATTTCATCATGAACTCCAGAGCAGAGAGCTCTAATTCAAGCATGTCTTGTAAATGCTACAAACAATGAAAACATTAATAAAAACAAGCTTTTTACATGCAGCCTTGCTCTGTTGTTTCTGTCCCACATAGGCCAGTGTTCTGAGTATAAACATGATGCATTCTGATCTAGATTGGGTACAAACAACCTCATATAAGGCATGATGTTCCAGATATTTGCACTCAAGCTAGACCATGATGCAATGTATTCACTAGCTCAGAAAAGCACTATGTTGTGTTAACATAAAAAAACATTTTTTCTCATTTTTTTATTTGCATTTTTTATAAACTATAATTCACTAGTCTTTAAACTCCAGTGTATGCGGGCTTAACCTCAAATCCAGGAGTTGCTTGTTTTGTTATTTTAATTTCTATTCTGCTTTTGTTAATCGACCTCAGAAGTAAGGCTAAGCCTGCATACACTGGAGTTTTAAGAGTCACAGGGGTGGATCCAGGGGTGGTAAAATAGGTGACTAGTCACTGCCCTTTCACTCAAATTTCTCAGTATTTATGTTATTTAACAGTCACCCACCTTTTCCTCGAATTCTAGGTAAAAACTTTGTAACATTCACCCCCCTTCTAAAATATCTGGATCCGCCCCAGAGTCACCAATAGAGTATAATATAGAGTAAAGAATTGTTTTTCTATCTAAGAGTATTAATAAAAGATCTATACCTGATGATATCTACAGATCTTCAAGTGTCCGTGCCGTCTTATAAGACCATCAGTAGGAGTCAAGGATCCTTCTATTAATTTTAAAAGAGTTGATTTGCCTGCTCCATTTGGTCCTACTAGAGCCACTCTTGTATCAAGATCTAATCCAAAGTCTAGATTCTTGTAGATGTATGGCTAAAATTTGAAAATGATAAATTCAATAATTTAATAATTATTGAAGGAATAGAAAATGTGCACGTGTGCTGTGTGCAGTTATGAAGCATGTGGGGGTTGGCGAGAGAAGTGTTAGGAGAAGCATGACAAGTAGCAGAGTGTTCTGTAAAATACAGAAAGCACACGCTCCAAACCAATCAGAACGCAAGATTCATAACAGTTATTTCATATTTACAATTATTGCAATAATAATAATAACAACTACAACAACAACAATTGCCTTAAAACTGATTCATTTTTGACTTTCGCATTTCTATTCATACCACATTTTCATTTAATATTTTTGACTGGGTAATGATGCTATGCAATGTCAAAATGTTGTGGTATTTCATAAGATACTAAGGTGTTTCTTATGGATTTAAATACATTTTTAGTTTATAATCTTTGCTTTAAAATATTGATATTATTATCAATAATAAATCATCAATAAAATTAATACCACTGTTATTATTTTATCAGACATACCTTATCTACAGAATATCTGAAACTCATCATCTGAACTGAAATGACAGGAGGTGGAAGCTTGCCGCAGTCAGGAAAGTAGAAACTAAGTGTCTGCAAGTGGAAAAACAGATACTTTCCTTTTTTACACATTCCTACGATAATTATATTTGCGTTTTCTAATCTTTTTTTAAGTCTTTGTTTATTATTTACTTTGAATACCTTAATGAATAAAAATAATAATCACATGTGAGTAGAGTTTTTTTTGTCTATAGAGTTACTTTATTCCAGGATTTTTCTTAAGATTCTTTAGGAAGCACAGGTGGCATAGCATTGAAAGCATCACTGTAGGTTACAATTCATAGTGGATGCGACAAATAATAATTAAATGAATCATATGAAAATAAATTAAATAAATAGAAAATAAAAAAACTCTTTTTTCTTTATGTTACCTTGTCTCTGAAAACTTTTTCTGTCAAACCTCCAGCCTTCATTTTTGCAAGAACTTTCTCTTTACTTTGAGCTTGTCTAGCAAGCTTTGCAGAACCATGACCAAATCTAGCAATATAGTTCTACAAGTAGGAAAAAAAGATAAATTAAAACAACCTGTTTTTCTTCTTTTTTTTCCCTTTCATATTCGTTCATTCGCTAGAATATCATTTCTTTGTTTAATTGTTGTGCATGAGAAGGCACAAGAATAGGGATACAACTCAGACAAGGTTTTGCACCAGCAAGTGTAACAATATCTAATCGTTTCATAAGAAAGAAATTCAATTCCCACAAGCAAAGGGATTCTATTATTCTGCCATCTAACCACTGGCAAGCTGTAGTATGGGCATTGGCATGGGCAAGTGAATTTGCACCGTTTTCTCAAGGATGTGTGCGCATCCAACTTGATGGGCCTCAAACTGAAAACCGCAAATTCAGTAAAGATGAAGACAGTTTTCTATTTAAAGTGGATGCACAGGCAATCTTGAGAAAACGATCTATGGAAAAACATTGCTCCAAAACAAATTGTCCTATTACTAGTTAGACTAAGGAAACATCTGTTTTCATGTTTGGAAGGGAAAATAAACACTTACCACCATGTGTTTTATTTCATCCTGTTCTCTGTTGTACTGTTTCATTTGATTCTCCTCTAATTCAGATCTTGTTTTAATATAAGAATCATAATTTCCCTAAAACATTTGAAAAAATTCTTGATAAGATAAAATTTTATAAATTTACTTAACTCTATACCAATCAGTTATTACAATAACAGTGGTTTTCATAAACCTGTGAAATAAATACTAATCAATAGTTTAAGTATAATAGCCAAATGACAGCAAAAGAAAACAATGGATATTAGGGTCTATTAATGTGTATTAGTCTAATATCTATTTCACTGGTTTAATGACTTCACTCTAATAATGCAAAAAGATAAAAAATAAAACAATGGAATTAGGGGGCTACTAAAGTGTATTAATCTAATATCTATTGCACGGGTTTAATGATTTCACTCTAAGCACAATTTGGTGTCCTTANTAATAGCCAAATGACAGCAAAAGAAAACAATGGATATTAGGGTCTATTAATGTGTATTAGTTTAATATTCTATTTTACGTTAAGTTGATCGTCTAATAAACTTAATTACAGTACCCCTTACTCTCTAAATAATAAACTTTGTTATCAAACTCATTAATAATTCATGAGGAAAACACAACAGAAATTACGACCATGAAAAGTGTTGCAAATCTGATACAAAACTGTGTTCATTTGCATAAACTTTAAGTCGGATTTTCTTGGCCAAATTCACTTTAATTTTGAAAATTTTAGTGAAACACAAAGGAACTAACCTAGACGTTTGGTAAGTCATATACAGTATTCGTGTCTGTGTTGTATCAGACATACAATCACTTGGCTACGCCTCGTGGTTGTATATCTGATACAACACGGCCACTCATACTGTTTATATTACTTAATTTCACATAAGGTTAATGAAAACCACTCAGCTAGTTATTTAATAGATATAGAAATCATTTAATCAGTATGTTGGTGAGAGTTGTGTGCCTAGACCATTATATGTAGTATCAGTGAGAGTGGAGTGTGTCATATGCATAAACATTAGCCTCTGGTAGATATAAGGAGACTATGCAATGACTCCTGATATCACAAAGCATTTTACACGCTTGAAAATGTTAAAGAAAATGCGCAATTTGTAAATAATGAATTATTATTATTAAAGGGAAAAGTAAAGATTTAAAAAAAAATTACTTTATTATGTGCTGTCTACTTACTCCATAATAATTGAGTTTTCCTTGTGTTAGATGAATAATATTTGTACAGACTCCATTAAGAAAATCTTGGGAATGAGACACTATGACTAAAATTCTTTTATAGCTAGAAAAGGAAAGAAGAGAAAAACAACTTCTTCATTATGGATAAACAATGCAACATGGTATAAAATCAAAGATGTTACAGAGTCTTTGCACCAAACCCCTACCTGGGGTCAAAACAAAGACAAATGCATGAATTACTGTAAAAAAAAGATTTCAATCCTCAAGAAAAGGGAAGTCTTTTACAGGGCTTAAAATAACAGCTGGTACGTCACTGGTCATGATGACCAGCCAAATTAGTTTTAGCTTGGCCATAGAGTCCATATACGGTAACATTGAATCAGAGACCAAAGAGGTGGGTGGTGAGGGCTCATTTCCTGTTATAAGTTGCCTAATGCTTTGAAACTAATTTAATACAATAAGTATGTTTCACCAGAAACTGTATTTCTAAGAGCCTCTATTGCAAAATATTCAGGGTTTAATTCCAATTTCCAGATAAGCCCACCTCCCCAACCCAAAATTGTGCTCTGTGGTCCCTTTGAATATAGTCAGAATTATTATAACTTACTCTTTTAATTCTTCCTCCAGCCATACACAAGCATCAAGATCCAAATGGTTAGTTGGTTCATCAAGAAGTAGGACTGAAGGTTTAAGAAATAAAGCTCTAGCTAATGCTATTCTCATTCTCCATCCACCAGAAAAGTCTTTAGTACATGTGTTTTGCATGGTTTTTGTAAAGCCCAGTCCATGGAGAATCTCGGCAGCTAAGACCTCAGCTTTTTCGGCATCTAGCTCCTCCAGTCTCTCATATACCTCAAATAATCTGGTTAAAAATAAAGATATAATGTATCAAATAATATTCTAAATCAATGCCAGCAAATTGATGCCATTGGATGAATGGCTGATATTCATAGATTTTACATTGCTGATTGTTTTTTTTTTATCAGGATAGATAAAGATGTTATTATTGTTATTCTTAAATATCAGATCTCACCTTATCTACCATAATAATAATAATGGGGTTTTTATGTAGCGCATTTTATATTGCCTCAATGCACTTTACATGCAGTGGAGGACTTTACGGGCAGCATATTAAGGCGCTATCAGCAGCCGTGCAGCTTACAATCAGGTGTGATTTGTTAGTACATATAAGTGTTATGCCTCCAAATTGGGATAGGCTGTTGAACCGGGACACAATCCCCTACTCTTACATGAATAATTCAACAGGTTCTTTCATGTCCCCCATTTACTGTAGGTTAGGAAGGGTTTGGAGACAGGGCCTACAGTTTTAAGTCCTTGATTCTCATCTATATTGAAAATACGAGGGACTATAGAAACTAGTACATTATACGGAGGGCTGTGAGACTTTATTCTCCGAGTAGTTGTTGATACCCACTAAATTTTCAAATCTAAGCCCGCTGTACCCCAAATATATAACCAAGGGGTCATATGTATGTGTTATTATTTCGAGCAATTTGATCAAAACATAATAATTGATGGCAAGAGGTCAGTTACACATAGTGTATCGCTTCAAGGATGTGTCCATCATACCATCCCATAACCCACAAGGAGTTACAAGGCTGGTATTAAAACTCGGCCTTTTATGTCATCATTCCAATTGCCATTCAATTTCTCAAAATCGTTTCTCACACTTTATCTTGAATGAAGCTCGTAAAAAAAATGCCTTACCGATCACTTGCTTCATCGCCAAGGTGAGCTAGCTCGGCAGCCTCTGCCTCCAGCCTGTGTCGCTCTTTATCAACCTCCATAACAGCCTGGAGTGCAGTTTTATCACTAGCTTCTATTTCTCCGTGTAAATGAAAGATGTCAAAGTGTTCTGGGATGGGAATCTCTCTTTTACCAATGGCCATCAACATGGTGGATTTACCTGAAAGTTTATAACAGCATTAGTACTTATAATGTACCTGCAACCCAGACAATTCTAAACACAGTCCATTTTTGAAATTTGCCTTCTAGGACTAAAAATAATATCTGGTCAGTCGCCAGTCATGATGGCAAGCCAAATTTGTTTTAAGTTGGTTATACCTCATGTCTGGCTAAATGTTACTTGTCAAAATGACCAGCAATTAAGCAACAAAAATGGCCAGACAATTTCCAATTTGATTTGGCTAAGCAGTGTCTGATGAGCCGACGTTATCTTTAGTTATGGCTTTTGAGAAGTCAATAGAGAGGTAGGTGATAGGGGATATAGCCTTCTCATTCTTATTTATCCTCTAAATTTTAAAGTCTTCCTTTCTTACTCTTATGCATACTAATAATATTTTCAAATCTTTGCCCCATCTTTCAATAAGCCTGAAGCGAGATGATGTTTTACCCCCGTCTTTAGACCATAATCCTTTTCACACTGCTTTTGTTCTTTTATTATGACTATTGTTCCCGTATTCTCTAAGCAATCAAAAATCTTATATGAAAGAATTTTAAAAACTATTATGGTATAGAGTCGGAGGTAAAACGTCATCTCGCTTCAGGCTTATTGATGGAAGCCATAAACCCAGATATTTGAAGTTCCCAAGGTCAGAAACGAAAAGTGCAATATTAGTTCACAAATAAAACAACTTATTCTGCACTCCGTTCAGTAATAAAGCAGGCAGGAAGTGGCATAAGTATAAAGAAGTGTAAGGAGTAGCATGAGCCATATACAAGTGCTTCTCACACTAAGTGAAGTCTTCTTTAGTGCTTACGGTGCTTCCAAAGTGCTTTATTGTTGAATGGAGCACGGAAAAAGCTGTTTTATTTGTTTTATCATATAGCTACTTATTTTTTCTATAACTAATTTTTTTCGGTATTGAATTTATTTAGGCAAAAAGAAAGACGCTCACAGGATCTAGCAGCACTTCAGGTGCGCTGATGGGTAAGCACTGTGCTCTGGTCACTAATGAAGTGCAGTTTTTCGACATTATCATTATTTTTACCACAATTGTAAATTTTCTCGCGTGCTGATTGGTTAAAAAACGTCGTAAATAAGAGGCCATACCAACAAATGGCGTCATGCAAGATTTCGTGCAGTCTATTTCCTAGAGTTTTGTGAGTTTTGTAGTAAAAAACAAATTTACGATGGTTTAGCGTGGTATGTCCTCTTATTTACCACGATATGACGCCAAACGTTGGTCAAAATTAGTTATGGACCCACTCRGCTTACGCCTCGTGAGTCCATAACATTTTGACCAACTTTTGACGTCATATCGTGGTAAATAAGAGGGCATACCACGCTCAACCATCGTAAATTTGTTAAATATAAACCTTTACTTCTACTGCATACTGAAAACAAGCCTAAAGCAAAATGAAACAAAGTTTTTAGGAAAAGTGTATTTGAACCTTAATATTTGAGGAAAAAACCCTACGTAATTATACTTCAAAACAAATAAATCCACTTAATTTTCGCTATTTTCTAAAAAAAATTCACTATTTTGAAAATATTTTTTATTCCTCAACAGGTCTTCGTTTACTTCTGTGAACACGAATTAGAACATATTTTCTACACTAAATATTTAACTTATTCATAATTTTTTTTGGTCGATTATTTAACATCTGAAAAAATCTGAGTTATAACCATTTTAAACAAGTGTAAAACTCCTATATCTATTCACTACGTTTTAAGCTTCAATAAAATGAAGATCCTGAACGAAGGAAAGAGGTTTTTAAAATATTCAAAGGACAGCAAGAAAGAACAAGATTTTTTTCTCCCTCAAGGTGCCAGTAAAATGTGCCAAATAAATAGAAATCATATATTTGGGAACGTGATTTTATGGCTCAAGGTGAATAGCGGTTTCTAAATATGAACCAGAAGACTTTCTATATAAAAGTTCGGCTGTGAATGACTTTATTACTTTGACATAATTTTTTTAACTATATACGTCAGCTTCCTTAATACGTACCACAACCATTCAGCCCAATAAATCCGTATCTTCTACCACAGTTCAACTCTAACTTGGCATCTTTCAGTAGTTCAACGCCATGAAAAGTTATAGAGAAGTTCTCGATCTTGAGATCTTTTGCTAAAGGATGTGAGGCCAAAACGCCGGTACAAGCTCGTGAAGAAAGCTCGAGACTTTGCTCGACGCCATTTGAAATTTGTTCTTCTTTTGAGTTTGCTGCCGCTTTTGGCTTCCCCCTTGACTGTGCTGCCGCCTTTTTCTTTGCTTGACGTTTCTTGGCGGATTCTGAAGGCATATTATGTGGAATTGGTGTATAATTCGGAGTTTAAATTCGCTTTGAATGAAAAAATTCCTTGTCTAAAATTTTTCTTTAGCGCCTTATGTTGCAATACCACACGTGGTTTGGCCCACGCTTTCTCGACTAAACTGCACTCGGATCTCCCTCGGTTGAGACTCGGATACTATTCGGGACTGTTTATCAAGCCGATACTTTATGCGATTGAAAATAATAATTATTTTCTAAATTTATGTAAAATGGCTGTAATGATTTTTTAGTTGCTAAGTTATCAAAGGAATTGATTTCGGAATTAAAAGACTTCGGTTTCATCGTCTAAAATGCTCTCGGATGTCACTCGGTCGACACTCGGAAACGGTTAGGATTTGTTATTCTGAGCCGTTCGATCGAGAAAATTTTTGGGATAAAAAATTAAATCATCCAGAATAGTGAAAATTTATTCGTGGGGGAAAAACTGATTTTAAAGGCAAAGGAAAAATAGATGTCCAAAGACAAAAACATATGTTCCCATACCGGGAGTCGAACCCGGGCCGCCTGGGTGAAAGCCAGGAATCCTAACCGCTAGACCATATGGGATAACGTTAAAGAAATGTTTTCAGTTTTACTATATAAATCATAATATGGACGTGCAGTCACAACCATAACTTTACATGCAAATGATAGAATATCCGAAAATGGGAGTTTTTTCCCCATGCACAATTTTAAAAACTTTTCAGTCTTTTGCTTTCAGAAATTTTAACTTTATTTTTTTATTAATTAACAAAAGATTTTTTTTTTTCAAAGGCAACTTTTTTTCTATATCTGCCTTCCCAAAATTCTTATTCCTATTTTTTCTTCATTTGCTTTCTTCTAAATGAAGTGGAAAAAACAAGAGTGGATTTGTGGAAGTCTACTGTGAGTGTTTCAGGCTTACCACTATCTTAACAGGAAAATATGAATATGTATTTTATTTTTTTAATGAGAGCATTTTTTTGCCACTTCTTTTCACATTTCCTCTCTCCAATATGGAATAGGTATTCATGTTTTCCTTATCAGAGTGATTAGCCTGCAAAAAAAGTGCAAGGCGCCTAAGTACCGTGGCCACCCAACCTATTTTTTTACAAATGCTGTTGATTCCTTTACCGCCAAGTGTTTCCATCGATCAACTAAAAGAGATTTTTACAAAAGTGTCCAGTTATTGGGTTAGTGTTAGCAAGCAAATTTATAGGGACCAAAATAGGTATGACCTAGGCAAATTCCTAGCCATTTATTTGCATTTTTGTTGCAGAGTACAAAATAATTTTGAATATTTGTGGTTACGCTGAGTGAGTTCACATGCATTTATGTACGAATTCTCACTGTCTGATTGGCTAACTAGTAACAAAATAAGTTAGGTGGCTAAGGCTAGGAGCATCACACTGTAATAGCTTGTATCATTGCTTTGTCTAACTGTTGGGCATGAAACAAGGATATAACTCAAAGAATCTTATTCCAAAGAGAATGACAATTGGTCTGATCATGAAATGGGAAAACATTAGACCCAAGCCAAAGCCCATTTTGGAGTCAGAAGCAGAATCAGAAGCAGTTCTTGCATGAAATTGCAATAGAAAAGAAAAATGAAACCTTTAGATCCCTTCATTTTTATTGCCCTTCTGCCTCAGGATTACGACAACATGGCTTCCACTTCATCACAAGTTGCTTCCAACTCAGATTACAAAACTTATTCCATCCCCAGTGAAAACCAGCCTATACCAAGCTTTTTTGCACTGTTGCAAATAATTTTCAAATTGAATGGCATTTTAATGATGCTAACTGTTAATTAAAAGTAGTTTTCACAATATTAACATCCAGTTGAGTTGACCATGTTCTTATAAAGGCATTACAATGAATTCAACTATTTTGGTTAGCATTTTCATAGCAGGGACTGAGTACAATGTAGATTTCTCTACTTGTTGATTGAAAATTATGGAATTCCGCCATTAGTTTGACTAGCATTTACAATCAATTTAAAGAATGAGGAATTCATATTTCATGGGTTCTCTTAGCAGAATCATGGTAAATCAAAGATTATACTTATTCATTTGTCTCACAATTTGTCTCAGCCAGACTGACGGTACATGAGTAGACCACCTTCCAGTCTTCACCATCGCCTGATGAAGAGCTACTAGCAGCAGCAGTCGAAATGTTGCAGTCCACCCCACTGCTACAATTGCGAGACAAAGGAATAATAAGTATAATCTATGATTTACATCCACGATGAATAACCTTTCCATTTTATCATGGAAAATGCTAATCAAAACAAGATGTCGAATCCTCAATTCCGATTAGTTGACCTTGAGTTCCTTCTGAAGGTCAACTTAGCTGGATAAAAATGATTAAGGAATACAGTACAATGAGATCAAGGAAGTACACTATTTTTTTCTTGAATTTAGTTTACATCATTTTGTTATTATCATAAATACTGAATTTTCACCACTGATAACTATTTGTTTGTAATTTTTTGCTATTTTTCATTCCTTTCCACTTCCATCACCTAAAAATAAAAAATAAATAAAACAGATAATAATATGAATGAATAAGAGCAAGAACTTCTGTAATAACAGTGCTTCTCAATGAATTATGGCTTCAGAAAATATTTGAGAAATGTTTCCACTTTTGTGTCACTGATAAGAGCAGTCAGACATGTCTGGTTTACAAGATGCTTTTCATTAAAGCACCAAGCCGCTACCTGAACCTGCAATGAGATTCCTTTAAAGCCTAAGTATTATTCTTATGGCACATTTTGATGACATATTATTCACTGACATTGTAATAAGTAAACTAGAATTCATTGCTTTGTCACTATTGAGAATTATGGCTGTAGGCATTGAATCGTTGAGTAAAAGAAATGCTGTTGTCATAAACTGTGATTAAATCAATCCAAGATAGGTTAGAAAGAGGCAGTATGAGTACCAAGTTTCCCCCCTAAAATACAGAATTATTTATGCTAGGTAAATACTAGGAATTATTACCTTTTTCTTCAGGCTGGCTGTTTTGGTCATTGGCATTTGGATCTTCAGGATCACCATTTGTGTTAAAAGCAGACTGTGCTTGGGTCCGTAAGTCAGTCATGAGATCTGCGTTGGTTTCTTGCAGCTGTTCTCCAAACATTTGAGCTCTGAAAGACAATGACATATTAAATGTAAAGATGGTAGTATGTCAAATTGACAGCCAAATAAATGTGAGAGCTCTAAGTAAACTGAGTGATTTATTTGGGTTATAAATGAACACTTTTTTATTTGCCCAAAAAGGGGGTTTGACTGATCATCCCCCCACTCTTCCCCCCTCCTCCCCTCCCTTCCCCCCTCACTACTGCAGTATTTGCCCCTGAGATATGGGAAAAACATTAGTTCTAGGAATAAAGGGTGACAAAAATTCTAGGAAGGTCAATGATCAATGAAGTATAATCCTCCTAAGTACTGTCAATATGAAGTGAGTAGGCTATTCTGATCAACAGGGCGGGGTGGTGGGGTAAGGCTTTGATGATTTTATGAGAAAATAAAGGTTTCAGACCATAAGTCATTCCCGAGAGTATTATTTCTTTGGGTTGACTGTTTGACAGTTGAATATGAGAAAATAAATAAGTATCCACACAACTCAAACAATTAAAAAATTTATTCTCCAAGGAATGACACATGGTCTATAATGGAAAAACATTGCACCATGACTAACGAGACTGTTGTTTTTTTTTTAAAACTTACGCCTGGAAGAGGCTGCTCATATTACCACCCCCTCCTGGTCCTGTGAAACCTGGCCCAGCACCTCCTTGCATCACACTAGCAACCCTACAGAAAATAGTAAAATATAAAAATATTAATAATAATATTACACAATAAAAAATAAATTTTTTTTAAAATATAAGGAATGATTCTTGAACTAAAATGGGCATAATATTTTACCCAATAAGAACGAATTTTACCCGTAAGAACATGTGCCATTATAATAAAGGGTCATAAAGTGGGCTTGCACTAATGGACCAATAACCTTTGAATTTCATTGAACCCTATAATGACCTCTGGACTGATTTAAATCAGGGCATGGCTAACTTACAGGGCTTAGTTTATTTGAGGGAGAAAAGAGAAATCAGATAGATAAATCCTTAACCGACAGAGTGATTAAATTGATGCTGTTATCCCATGAATTTATAGTCCACTGGATATGAATTATCTGTCAGATAGCACTAGTATCCATCCTTTGTGTTCCCTGCTAGCAGAGCCTATTTTCCTTTTGTTTTGGTGGAGTGAGAAAAATAGACTCTGCCGATGTAGGACCTTATACTTGTCGCGCCTGCGTGGTGTAACTTAGCAAAGCTGTCATGATTTTGACAGCTGCTTTCGTCAAACAACGTTTGGTGCCATGGTGTGTTACATTTGCTTATGTGCACTACCTGTACCCGGTTAAAAACAGGTTTTAAAACTGGTTTTGTTCATCCACAATTGTGGACGGCTGTGTATCGCCTATCTCCTTTGGCTTTGAACACCTTTTTTCAAATAGGTGTACATGTAAATGAATCCTTTTCTCAAATAGATGAAAAAGAAATAGAAAGGAAAAAAGAAATTCAATATACAATTCTATTACTTACATTTGCTGCATTTGTGGACTCTGCATAAATGATTGTGCCTGAGAAATGAATGAATGAACTTAGCATCTTGTATTGTACTGTATTATTCCTTTCAATACCAACTTGTATGTTGATAATAATAATTTATCAACTATCTTATATTGTGCAGTTATCAATGTAATTTTTTTAGCTGGGCATAAATACACGACATATACAAAACATACCATATGTCATTATTGATCATTAGCACATTACTGTGTGACTGCACACCAACCAAGATCACCCAGACAAATTTTTCATACAAATTAGCCAATCAAGATTGAGTATTCAAACAATAGAATCTGTACTAATTTTCAAATTTTCCTCTTTAAGTCATATATTTTACTTTATTATACGTGTGTGTGTATGATCAAAAGTTAACAAGAAAGTTTAATTAAAACCCAGAATTCACTAATTCATCACTGTTATGCAGTGTTAAAAATGTGATTTGTGAATTTGATTTTAAATGTTTGTGTGGGTTGAAGTAATGTTGCACTAAATACCCTTACTCATATAAACAAACTAGTGAGCTGTGCTATTATAGACCTAGTCTCACCATGTTCATGACTGCTGGGTTTGACAGTAGAGAAGCAAAGTCTAGACCACCTAAGTTTGGCATTCCTAATACAAAGAAAAAGATTTAAAAAAAAGATATTCAAATAAAGGGTATCTGGTACTTTCATTACAGCCATGTACTTTTGAAACCATACTTTGCTTTCACTTTCAATCATAGTACAAAATTTGCTTAATCCATATTTTCTCTTCATTACCAAAAGTTTGAAAGCAATATTGAATAATTTTTGACAATTAATATTACAACACAATATGGCTAATCAAACAAAGATTTAGTCTCACCAGTGAACACCTGCTTAAGCTACAGCACTACAGTGGATATCTACTGATTTTGAATATTATCTTATTTCGAAGAGCCTTGACATCAAGCTAGAATTTCAATATTTTGAAAATGGCCTATGAAGAAATACCTCCAGTGGCAGTACTTCCAGGAACACCTCCAGCGGCAGTACCCATACCAGCTCCTCCCATTGAACCTCCAGCTGAGCTCTGCCCTTGAGATAACTTATCTTCTACCAGCTGAAGGTTGTTCTTGTAGAATGCATTATCTGGCTCCATTTCAATGGCCTTTAAGAAATTTGAAAATTAGTTTAGATGAAGTTTGAGCAGATTTTATAGGGATATCATATAATAATACTACTACTACTACTAMTAATAATAATAATGATGGTGATCTGATGATGATGATGATAATAATAATAATAATGATGGGGTACTTATATAGCGCATTTCAAATATCTCAATGCACTTTACATTTATAACCAGTGGAGGACTTTACAGGCTGCATCATCACCATCCATTGCTGTCGTGAGTTAACCACATAGTGCCGAAGGGACTCAGCGTGGCATGTGGTAACATTTGCGTGTCTCTCACAGATGCATGCTAGGATTCATTGATTCTAAATGTGAGTAAAATTGCTTGTTGGTTCTCTCCTATTATTATACTGTGAGGGTTTTTCTCCTGTTTCTAGAGTTTTGTTCCTATTAGAATTAACTAACTTCTAGATCATTTCAAGTGGATTCTAGAGATTGAAAGCAACTTTGTAGAAACACTGTTTTATCCACTTTATTATTGTTAATATAATAATTGACCAAAACAATGGAAGTTAAATGTGAAATATATGATCAGAATTAGTTTTCTAGTTAACAGCTGTGTTATTTCTAAAAGTCAAAGTTACCCAATCCTTTTAAAATCTAAAAAAAATCTAAAAGTTTGACTAGTCATACAACTACATATGATGCCTGAATGAATCATAAATTCATACCTTTTTGTAACTCTCCTTAGCATTTGCAAAGTCACCAAGACTTTGATATGACAAGCTGAAGAAAATAGAAATCAAACTAAAGATTATAGTCTTAATTAGAATTTATACACGTAAATGAATTTAGTTATATCGAGATAAGTTTTATATTAGTAGGAAATCGCACAATCTCAAGTACAATCCGGAAGATACAAGTGATGTTTTGATAATTTTCAAAATTGGACAAGCCTGTTAGGTGAGTCAGATTTTGAGAACTCTCAAAACATCAAGAGTATCTATAAATTCCAAATTATACGAGAACATTGTGTGATTTTTTGTTTATAATACACTTAACAAAATTGAGAAATTTAATTGGGACTTGAAAGAGTACAATTTGGGATTTAATCGTACTCCTTTTGTCCAATCGCAATACAGTAATTTTGTTGAGTGTATTATAATAATTCATGTAACATGCTCACCCCATACGGCCATATGCTTTACTATATTTTGGATCTAATTTAAGAGCTCTCTTGCAGTCTTCAACAGCCTTCTTGTTTTCACCTATTTTACTATATGCAGCAGCTCTAGAATGATATCATTAAATTAACAGCCTGAGTCAATAAAAAATTTAGTTACAAATACATACAGTTGTAAGAAAAATATGTACACATGCTTCAAGTCTGTACACTCAATAGCTGCAAACATGTCAAGTGTATATTGTTTTGTAGGTTGCTTTCATAATGATAACATTATTATTATAGCAAAAGGTTGATAAAAGTTTTGTTGCCTGTTGCATATTGCATGTTTCACATTGCACACCAAGCTTAAAAAGGTATTGTAGATCATATAGTTATATTCATATAACAAAAAAAATGAGCTTCTTCGTTTACAGTCAAACCACCTCAATTATGAACACGTAGAGGTCATTAATGACTTTATTTTTGGACTCTTGATTTCATTTTTCGATTCGAAGATTCATTAATGAAAATCTTCAATATTCAAAAAATAATAATAATTTGAAAATTCAATGAACTTTGCTTGTAGGCTCTTGTTTATAATGCAAACAGAAGGTAAGTCATTAATATTACATATTCCTTGCACAAAAAGTTGATTTGCATTTCAGTTGCATTATATGCTTGGCTTTTGTGTATGCTAGTTTTGAAGATTCGTTTTCAATAATGAATGTTCAGATAATCGAATAATGAAATCAAGAATCCAAAAATAAAGTCATTAATGACCTCTACGTGTTCGCGCTTGAGATGGTTTGACTGTAACTTCAGTTTGTAAAATGAGATATGGGGCATGGACCATAACAGAGTGATGTGTTTGAAGGCACTACTAATAGCTATGAACAACTTTAGCACTAAAAACACTTAGAAATTCCATGGAGGACCTTCAATTGAACACATGAATATACTCAAAATAATTTCATATTAAATCAAGCTTAATCCTATGTAAGAGAGAATTCACCACTGGAGTATTTAATGCAGAAGGAAAAATGCATAGACACAATACAGTACATTTACATTCAAAAGGTTCAGTATTTCTGTGCCCTGATTCTTTCACATAACGATTATTTTAATGGATTACCTGTTACAAGGATAGACTGGATTAGTATTGTCCATTTCAATTGCTCGAGTATAACAGCTTATTGCTTCTTGGTATTTTTCATGCTTCATTAATTGGTTACCTAAAAAATGAATTAGGAAAGAACTTGATAAAATTCACAAACTTATACTAAGAGCATAAAAAATTACTTTTAATGTCAATTGTTAATCAAAGAAATCATACTCTAGGGAATGACACATGGTCTTTAGTGAGAAAACATAACTGCAACAAGATGAAAATTGGTCTATTAGATGTGGGAAAAAAAGGTTTTAAGATATGATAGAAGTGTTGAGTGTATGGTATTTAAATTTGACAACTACAGCACCTTCAGTTTTAAGTTCCTCTGCTTTTACTCTGTCTTCTGCAGTTGGTTGCATAGCAGTTGTACCCCCAGTTGTCTGGAAGTTATTGAATAATAAGACCAGGGTTGTCAATAAAATTTTTGGTAGGTGGTTATGAAATTAAAATAGGCGGTAAACGGGAAATCACTTGAACATGTAATTGAGGCATACTGGTCACCAGTCTCACTCTTCTGACAAAAATTCAAGATGGCGGACAATGATCATCACAATTTTAGTTAAGAATGTTTAATACACTGTAGCTATTTATTTTAAACATAAATCTACCCTCTGTAAAGGATTTCACTTAATACTAGAACATTGTACAGTACAGGCCAGAAGTTTTTCAGGGTCCCCACGCGCGGGAAATGGACGGGCTCTGCGCACAGGCTCCGCTCGTACGCGTGTGCTTAATTTATGCACGAAGTGTGGACCCCGCTCGTACGCGTGGAATATTCTTTTGTAATACAGTTTTTTGTTCTGCCTAAATAGTTTGTATGTGACTGATAAACTTTTATCAAAATCATCGAAGGAAATGTCTGTGAAGTTGATTTTAAAACATGATCGAATTTTTCACGGGCTCTCGGACTCGTATTTTTCTTCCTGAATCAAAATACTGTCGGCGTCAAAGAGTTCCCAAGAGAGCCGAGTTAAAGTTAATGAGCTCTTTATGCTGCGTGGGACCTCATTAACTTTTCCCACTCGTACGGACGGGATGCACGCGTACGGTAGGATCCCATGTGTACGAGCAGATCCCGTGCGCAGGGTCCGTGCGCGATACACGCAGTTGACCCTGAAAAACTTTCGGCCTGTACTGTACGTATCCTGAACATCTCTGAATGCCATTCATTTATATTTCTTATTTTTTCTTCTTTTAAAGACAGTCCCTTGGAGTATACAAGACTTTAGACTTGTATAGTTTTTTCTCATTGGTTTCTTTCGTCTTGTTCTCAGTATATAAACACTCCTTTCTACCACCTCTTTCTCTTTTACTCCGATGGAGGACTAGCGTCTGAAACATCAGTACGTTTTTTCATCTTTTCACGGTGTAAAATTCCCCTTTTATCATTACTGTTTCATTAGAAACACCGACACAGCTCACACTAGTTTTTAGCTAGTTATCTCTGCAGACTGTGACATACTGTACTCATCACACCTTCCTGATTTATTGGTTGGTTGGTGACCACATTGATTAGCACTTGTCACCAAGCTCTCATGGTACTGACAAATCCTTACTCAAGCGCACACACATGCACACACACACACACACACCCAGAAGTTGTAGTGCAGCTTGCTTGTTTTAAATCTTACCTCAGGTGTTTTGGTCACTACAGCATCAAATATTTCTTGTAATGGTTTATTAACCTTGACTGCTTGTTTAGCATCATTGTTATAACTGTCTACCTTGAAAACTTGCTCTAAACACTGAATAGCAACTGTAAAAACAGAAATGGTTTAGCAGCAAATAAATTTACCATTGCATTTCAGTTTACGACCTTCTTATTTCCCAGTATATCTGTCAGATCTTGAATATGTATTACATTATAGGCTGTTTACTAACAAGACGCTATGGCTGTTGCTACGTCTTGACCAAGTCAAGAATGCCCTGAAGGCATAAACTTCCTGCCTGCTCAATGACCTTATATAATGACCAGGTATACAAGACCAACCAACATGAGAAGGCTGTGCTAATTTAAATAATGGCTGGTCATCAGACAATGTTAGGCCAGAACTGAAACTTGTCTGGTCAATTTTTGCCTTGCTGGTCATTTTAACCTGCAGTAATGTTGAGCCAAAAATGAGGTATGGTTGAGCTAAGACTAATTTGGCCAGTCGTCATGACTGGTGACAGAACAGCCATTAATTCTAGCCCCGCCAGTCAATGTGACCAGTCAAGATGCATCTGCCTAATAGCAGCCTAACATTATCCTGACCACTGACTGATTCTTATTTTGAAACTCGCAAGCCCTGAGGATGCATAGTAAATGCCTTAATATTGTTTATCTGAGTAATTCCTAGAGATTCTTTGGCTTGGAAGTATAAAGAAATGTATTCCCCCAAAAAAAACAAGAAATGTAAAAATAACCACTATGCCCCCCAAATCCCCCCCCCCCCCCCCCCCAAAAAAAAATTAAAAAAAAAATTCTTTAAAAATCAGGGGTGTCCTCCATGGAAAGAAGGGATTTTTGGGGGACAAGGAGAAAAGCATTAGAATTAGACATTTTCAACCAG